TTTTTATAATCTAGGGTACAGTGAAACCTGTCAAGGCGACCACTCGGGTAAGGCGACCACCTGTCCCAGAAGACCACTGCAGCCAGACCAAGGGATGCTATTTCCAGTCAAATGACCCTGGATAAGGAGACCATCTCCACACTGACACTGTTGCAGTCTGTCCAAGGCAACGACTGGGCTTTCTCCGACGAGCTGCGCACGTCCTGCCTCGGGGCGGCCGCCTGGCTATGTACAAAGGTTTCGTGCACCCAGTCCTGGAGTGTGCCCCATTGCGGCATTGGTCTGGATGGGCGCCTGCCAGACCCATCTCGATCACCTAGATCGAATCCAGAGGAGGGCTCTGGACATCAGCAGCCCAGGCACCCTCCTGGACTCCCTCACTGGCCTCAGTCTACGCCGCTCGGTTGCTGGCCTCACGTAACTGTACCCGGTACACTCCACTGATGGCCCAGCGCAACTCACCGCAATGCTTCCCCTCCGGAACCGCCACGGCCGCACCCCAAGACTAGCCGACAGCTCGACGCCAGCCGCCAGCCTGCCTACCTGAAGCTTGACCTCCCACAGAGTGCCCCAAACTACATCCGCCGGTCATTCCCCTTCTGCGTCGTGGAAGTGTGGAACAGCCTTCCAGCAGAGATGCTCGCCGACCTCCAGGATAAGAAAATGCAGGCGTTCAAAGCGAATGTTCACAGGCATTTGCGCCACAAGCACTGGCTTTGGGCAACGGACAAAAACTAGCGCCACTGATAATTCTCTCTCTCTCTCTCTCTCTCTCTCTCTCTCTCTCTCTCTCTCTCTCTCTCTCTCTCTCTCTCTCTCTCTCTCTCTCTCTCTCACCTGACGAGCCGTCATGACCTATACGGCGAAACGCACGTCGTGTGGACCTATTTGTTATTATCCATAACTAGTCCATCATACATGATAGTGGAGTTCAGTAGGATGTTGGCGTTTCGGTTTGTCACAATTCGTCTTCGCTTAGCTTCCCCTTCTATGTTTATTACATAAACTTGAGCCTCCCAAGTTGGGTGGTCTGTTGCTTTGCGTCGTCGAGTTGTAGTAAGGCCGGTCTGCCCAATAGTCTTACTGGTTTCGTCATCATCCAGTAACTTTCGGCATTCTTTGTTGCCGTGATGCGTAGCTCGTGCTCTTCTTCGTTGCGCTTTCCTTCCCCTCTTGGACCTTTCCGAACCTGAGCCTTCCAAGTTGGAAGGTCGTTGGTTTGCGCCTTGGAGAAGTGTAGGAGCTAGGTGTCAGGTCGCCGAATGTCTCAGTACTCCTTGTCAGTGTTGTGCCATTTTGTCGCACTCGCGGACTGTATAAGATCCGGTTACGTTGGTGGACAGTTAGTCATAACTCGTAACCTTTTGTGCTCCTTTTTTCACCATAATAATAATAATAATAATAATAATAATAAATAAATAAAAAAGTCCCTGGAGCAGTCGTCTTAGACAGGTTTCACTGTATACCTGTGACTATAAAACAGAGAGGTTCCAGGCTGTCCAAGAGAGTGCTCAATACCGAGTGGTAGAGCTGGTTCAAACCATAGGAGGACAGAGAAAGTGTTTTTACTCCGAATTTCACGCACTAAGCGATCATCAGAAAACAGTAATGAGAAATCTGGATCAGTATTGGTTTATATACTCACAAATCAAAGTGTAAATAGCTGCAGCATGGCGTAAATCTAAAAGTTGTAAATGGCAGCAGTGCAAAACGTGAATGACTGCATCATGAGGCAAATCCAAAAGTAAAAGTGTATGACAGCAGTGGTGAAAGGTGACAACCACTGGAGCCGGTTGTCTCTTACTTAATTTGGTGATGGCTGTGGATGGTTTGAAGTTCCGAAGGTAGTACCTATTCTCGTGGCGACACTTTGACACAAGCTCACTCCTTTTGTTGAGAGAGAGGCGCTTGGGTGCTTGCGCGATTGCCAATTTTTCCGCCAGGCACAGGTTGCACCTTTTGCTTTTGTTGCTGTAGGCCGCTGCTCTGCGGTGTACCGCCCATTGAATGCTGCATGCCTTCCCTTCATTATTCTTGGTCCAGACGTACTGCGATAGGCGGGTGTCCTTCTTGTGTTGTCTGTGGCGGTTAGCCACGCTCCGTCCAGTGGACATGAGTCTTTCGCCCGACAGTTCGCCCGACGCTTTGCACTGCCGCCATTCACAACTTTTAGATTTGCTCCATGCTGCAGCTATTTACACTTTGTGAGTATATATAAACCAATACTGATCCGGATTTCTTATTACTATTTTCTGATGATCACTTTGTGCGTGAAACTCGGAGTAAAACACTTTCGCTGTCCTCCTATTGTTTATACATGTAACTATCATGACTCAACAGAAACTGAAATCAGTCTGAACCAGACCGTTCTTCATCTTGTGCGATTTGGATCCTGAATCCACTAGTGCACTAGCATGGTAGTAATACTTACATGTATAGTATTGGCATGCACGGACAAGAACATTCATTAGCAAAACAACAACCGTGACATGCCATAGGCTTGACTACAAGCCCGGTCGGGGAGTCCGGAGGGAGAACAAGGGGGGGGGCTTCATTTTTTCACTGGCTCTCACAGTCTCAGAGACAGGGCCTAGGCCAGGGAGTGTCATGCAAGTGCACTGTTCAGAGAAGCTAGAAGCCCCAAAAGACCTTGTACCCAAGGCCAGGGGTGGTGGTTATCCACAGGTTTTACAGTGCAATCATTTTATCACCCGGGACTCCCTGAGTATCAACTCCCATGGTTTGGTTTGCGATGTAAAATAAAACTTCAGCAATGATATTTGTCTAAGCCGCTAGGGTTTACCGGGTGTTAGCGGCCGTCGTGAGTTCCCTTTTTTTCTTTTTTTTCTTTTTTTTAATACGAAAGTCCACTATATACCCGAATATGTGCGAGAAGTGGTGGCGGGGCAAGGCTGCTCTGCCGACCTCAAAGGTCTCGGCGTCTACGCAGACAAAGCGCGCCATAATGCAGTAAAACCATGAGGAGGAGAGGAGGAAGAGGGGAAATGAATAATAGTGAGGAACGAGGACAATGGGTAGATGGTCGTGAGAGAAGCAGAGTGAAACTGAAAGATAATGTCACATTGTGTTAAGGGGGGGGGGGTGTGCTAGTGAGGCGCTGGTCTAAACCGTTTCATAGGGCGTCGGTGGCTTCTTGCCAGTTCAGGTGCAGCAGATACTTGTTGCATTTTCCTTGAAGGATTGGAGCTGTCTGGGTTGCGGTCGTGCTGGTAAAATGGTCGCTGGTAGGCTGTTCCACAAGGGAATAATGCAGTCTGGGTAGGAACCCTGGCCTGGAGGCTGCTACGAGTGCGCACGGGCAGCGTGGACTTGAGCTGGAGCGGGTGGCAGTGGGCAGTCTCCGTGGCTAACCTAGTGGGTCGACCACCCACTGGGCGGGGGTTCAAACCGGTTGGCTGGAGGTGGGAGGCCTTCAGGGCCGAATCAGGGGGCTTGTTGTTGGAAGGTAGGACAGCTTGAAGATGAACGAAAGCGCAGCAACTATCGGCGGTGTTTCAGGCTGCAGCGCTGGGGAGCCAGGCGCCTGGGCCAATCACCTTTAGTGCCTTGTGCTGTATTTTATCCAGCCTGGATGTGCATGACCCCATCCACACCAGGCAGCAGTATTCCATTGTTGGCCGCACGAAGCCTTTGTAGACTGCCGTGCCGCCGCTAGAGTCCAACAGGGGTGCAACCTTTCTCAAGAAGTGTAGGCGTTGGGCAGCCTTAGAGGCCACGGCTCGGAGGTGTTGCGAGTAGGACAGTCGCGAGTCGAATGCTGCGCCCAGAAGTTCAATTTCCTTCTCTTCAGGAACAGTCACGCCATTGAAGAGCACTGGTGGGAGCGCTGGGGGAGGCTTGCGGTGGTCAATGATGAGGGCCTGAAATTTGGATGGCTGGAAGGTGACCTTCCACTTAGAAGTTGGAACCCCAGTGGGAGATGGCGTCCACTGCTTCCTGGAGTTGTGTTGCAGAATCGGATACTAGTATGCTGGCAGTGGCAGAGATGCACTGATACAGTGTCGTGATATCTGCATACATGTACATGTAGGTCACTGTTTTCGAACACGGTGGTCCTCCACCTTGTTATGTCAACGAACAACATGTTTTCAACAAAACAAGGTTTATCTAATAGTACAGTCGATTCCACATACATGTAATTATTATTAATGAACTCCGATACAGCGAATTTCGTGATAATTATAGCGAGCCGTTGTCCATGTCCCTGTTTGAACCCGTACAAAATTGACCCTTTATAGTGAACAGTTTTCGTTTATAACGAACCAAATCTTGTAGGACTGCATGTAAACCAAATGTAGTCATACTGTCATGCGCCACATGTCAGCCCTGATTTGCTGCTTGTGTAAGTGTATTTCTGTTATAACGAACTACTTCGGCTATAAAGAACTCCCGCACAATGGTGTTCGTTATTATCAGGAGTGAACTGAAATCCGGCCAATGCTCTGCTAGCTACCGGTCGATGTACAGACAGCATAGCATGGGTTGCATGCAGTGCTGAAACCGTGACCCCTGGCCCTGGTCGTATATTTAGCTTCTCTTGCCCCGCCTCCACTGCTTCCTTCTCTTGCCCCGCCTCCACTGCTTCGGCTGCCATCGATTCGCTAGGTGCATCTCTGTGCGTTTTTGGCGGCGTTTGCACCAGGGAGTCGTATACTCCCTGGTTTGCACCATGTAGATCTACCATGATCAGAATGATGGTTTGTGGTCATCTCGTAAAACAAATTCACTGCAGCACTCCTACACTACGTCACTAGGCTACAGTGCCACTACAATGTACAGTGAAATCCAGTCGGTTCACGCGAGTACGCGCCGGGCGTTACGCAGCGCGCGCTAGATCATGTAGACCTGCGATTGGCTGCGATCGAACACGTACAGACTTGTACTTGTATCAACTATCATGCTGTCAACCAACAACAATAAAAATACACACATGATTGAGTGTATTTTTTAATTGTTTACTTGCGTTTTCTCTCGCGCTCGCTCGCGCTCATCATCAGCTCATCGCCCAGTGCTTTGTAATTTTATTCTCGCCGCAACCGCGATGCTGCTAAGTGCGCGGTGTGCTCGTCCTCGGCCTCCGTGCTATGTTTCGAGATGCGTTTCTATCAGAGAATCCTTCTGTCGCTGTTTGTCTGCATGCCATGGCTGCTGCTCCTGACGTGCACTGATTTTCAACGGCTATGGTTGCCATCGAGGAATCATCGGGCTTCTAGTACAATCTCCTCACCATTGCCAGTCCGAAATGAAAACCTCACAAGAGCAGCGGCGTTGCGCGTCACGCGCCTGGAGAAGCGCCCACTGCTGGTGAGGTTTGGGTGGTACGTGGACGGCACGAGCCCTGTGCATTTCGGGTAAGTAAAGACGACTGGGACTGTGGGGAGGCTTTCACTAAATAACTACTGTTCAATGTGTCCTGGAAATTTCTGGCCAGTTGCAAGGCTCCAGCCCGTGCCCAGGTCTGTAAAAGTAACACTGGGATTTCACGTGGTCCAACCAATGGATCCATGGAATACTTCACCTGAACTGAACATTATTGGTGAAAACCCCAGTTTTGCATGAAAGGCACGTATTCACTGCAGGCGCACGTGACTAGCGCTGCGGGGGGGGGGGGGGGGGGGAACAAGTAGTTTTTCTCATTTGCGTACATGGTAAATTCGCACTTTACTCTTGACTTGTTGAGCCGTCTCGAACGTTGTATTCCGCAAATTCCACTTCCACTCCGTTGGGTCACTACTATTGCATACCTTGAAGACCAGTAGTCTATATCGAAAGAAACTCACAAGTTCCAGCGATTAGAGAAACTTCTTTTCCACGCATTTGTATACATTTGTATGCGGAATCGAACGAGTGTCCCCACAGCGTGGCTCACGCGCGCCCATACCATGTATGCAGCGTGGGCGCCCGCCATTTTAGATGAATATGTGCCATTGGGTAGGTCAACCATTTCGAACTACAGAAAAATCTGTGACTAACGACCACCCCGTAGGGCCAGAGAAAGCGGTCTTTAATGGCAGATGGTCCTTAGTTAGAGGTTTGCACCGCACAACCATAATAATGAGACTGTCCGTGCCTGGCAAAGTGGTCTGTAGTACCAGGCTGGTCGCTAGTCACAGTGGTCTTTAGTTACAGTGGTCGCTAGTCACAGTGGTCTCTAGTACCAGGCTGGTCGCTAGTCACAGTGGTCGCTAGTAGCAGGCTGGTCGCTAGTCACAGTGGTCGCTAGTACCAGGCTGGTCGCTAGTCACGGTGGTCTGTAGTACCAGGCTGGTCTCTAGTCACGGTGGTCTGTAGTACCAGGCTGGTCGCTAGTCACGGTGGTCTGTAGTAGCAGGCTGGTCGCTAGTCACGGTGGTCTGTAGTAGCAGGCTGGTCGCTAGTCACGGTGGTCTGTAGTACCAGGCTGGTCGCTAGTCACAGTGGTCTCTAGTAGCAGGCTGGTCGCTAGTCACGGTGGTCTGTAGTAGCAGGCTGGTCGCTAGTCACGGTGGTCTGTAGTACCAGGCTGGTCGCTAGTCACGGTGGTCTGTAGTAGCAGGCTGGTCGCTAGTCACGGTGGTCTGTAGTAGCAGGCTGGTCGCTAGTCACGGTGGTCTGTAGTAGCAGGCTGGTCGCTAGTCACGGTGGTCTTTAGTTACAGGTTTTACTGTACAATACAGGTGCGGCCATGGTCGGCCTGACAACGGCCGGACCGGACCGGTTGCTACTGCCCTGTAAGCAATGGCACAAGTAATGCAACGGATCTTGTTTCCTGCAATGCATGGGTCAAGGAGCACCAGCTAGATGTTCATGTACATGCACATGCATATGGCGCCGGTGAACACTCGATCTTCAGCAGCGTTTGAACACAGTGTACATGATTTTTGTTTACAGGGCAGGGGCGTCGGAAGGTATTTTAGTGTGGTACCGTCAGCCATCTGAAGTACAATTTACTCGTGGGGAAGGGATGGCTGAGCCGAAATTTTTTGGGAATTTAGAGCCCATTTTATTGATCCACGGGATACTTGGGGCAAATAGTGGTACACGGTCAATACCGTAGTGACCGTACCGTGTGCAACGTCCCTGCAGGGGGAAGTGGTCCCGTCCACCGCAAAGAGGGCTCAACAGTGCTGGGGTGCACAGTGGAGCTGATTTTCTTTACATGTATTTTAAAAGTGTAAAGTAAAGTTTGCACAACCAGGTACAGGTACCGTACTGGCACGATTAGTGCCTTTGGGGCACTATTTTTTCAATGTCCATCACAGATGGGGCAGTATTCAAGAGAGGGCACTATTTTTTCATTGCTGGTACATTTGCGTCATCCAGCATAAAACAAAGAAAATCAGAGCCTAAAGTGTACTGTAAACGCTCACGACTCCACAGAAACGGGAACAAGACCTGCGATTTTGTTCCTGAAAACACCAGTGCCGAGAACATTAGCAAAAGAACACCAAACTTGCACATGGGCTTGGTTACAAGACTGGCGGGGGGGGGGGCACTATTCCAGAGAGGGCTCTATTTTTCACTGGCTCTTGGAGACTAGGGCACTATTCGAGATAGGGCACTATTCAAGAGAGGGCTCTAATCACACGAGTACGGTAATCATATTTTCCGGGGTGTTCAGAGCCGTACTTTGAAATGCCTAAACTTGAACTCAAAAATTGTCCCTGCCCCCCCCCCCCCCCCTTAGACTGTGGATGCTGGCTTTGAATCATATGCATGAAGTGCTGTAGCACTTCATGCATATAATGCATGTATGGTGTCATTGAACTACTTTTCATGTCCTGCAATCCATTATTGTACTAGTGTGGAGCTTCTACATGTTGTCAGTTCTGAGTGAAAGACTAACTGGGCAACTTTTGTAGAGCTTCAGGTGTGCTTCTCAACGTTTTAACGGAAACGTCTTATGTCGTACATGTGTGTGTATGTGCGGCTTATACACCGAATGCCAACAAAAATACGAATTTTGGACGCGAAAGGGGGGGGGGTGGTAGACTCCGGTGCAGCTAACACACCGGGATAATGTGGAACATAATCTTTACGGTACACAGTGCCAGGATAATGCAGTCAGTGAATGATACAATACTCACTCGATTAGACGCTGGGGTCTTCAATATGTTTCCAATGCCAACTTTGAAGAGGAGGCCTGTGTGCTCGCTTGTAAGGGTGAACAATCAGTCGAGAACGTCTTGGGGGTAGTCAAGAAGTGCAAGCAATGTTACGTTAACTGTACATTATGATCTATGCTGTATGATGTATCATTCTAAAATAGAATGTTGGCGTGCAACCAGAGTGCAATTCTTGGCGTTCTTTGGGCGGTATCTGTATTTGGGCACAAAAAAAAGGTGCGTGGTGGCATCGACTTACACAAAGGGCGTGACTTATACAATCACTGTGTCTGCGTACTACTGTCCCCAGACAAACTTGCTTTAACCAAGTTGTGCTTAGAATCGACTATGCCTACTATTGCCTAGTGCAACCGACGCCCTCCAAAGGCCCCCCCCCCCATGCCTCACATGGGGGGGGGGGGCATTGCGAGTGAATGTGAAATTTTGTGTTGTACCTTAGGCTACAAATTCTAGGACGCAATACAACAAACTGGTCCAGCTCTGTACCTAAAAAAAAAGAAAAAAAGTTAGCCGGATTCGCGGCCGCATCACCTGACGTGTTGCGGAATACATCAAGCAAATACATTCGCATCGGCGGGCCACCACTTCGCCCATATATTCTCAGTGTCGAATGCATACCTCACAAGTGAGTCAGGGGAGAGGGGATAAGTCTCTCAACAAGCCGGCGTGTAAAGGCCCTATAACCCCATAAACCGCATCCTTGTTACCCTCACACCGAGCAAGTGAGTGCCCAGTTCACCGTGGGTGTCGGCACAGTTCATTGCATGTAAAGTGGTACTCGCCTGCATCATCGCGATTGAGAGAGCGCTAAACACACTCCCAGTTACCAGCGCAGGTTTTGAACTCGTAACCTCATGATTCGCCGGCAAGACTACAAACCAATCGGCTATACGCTTTGATGTACCTGGACAATCCAAATCACTAATGGGAGAGAGGAGGAGGAGGAGAGAGAGAGAGAGAGACTCGAAGTGTGTGTGCGTGTGCCGAAGCAGCCACGGTTCCAATATCATTGGCAAAAAAATAGAATTCAAGTCTTTCCTCAAACTCTTGAAAGTCGCCGCCGGTAAACGGCTGAAGCGATGATATCCGAGCCATATCTTCGTCGCCAGTTGTTGTGTCCTACCCCAGGGGGTTCTACTCGGACTCATCCAGCTCGATCACACACACACACACGAGGCCATTACAGATGTCAGTACATCTCAAACTCCATATCCGAAAAGGACCAAGCTCACGTGCGAGCATGTGCACTACATACATATGGTCCATGTCCAGGACATGACAGCGTGTGAGAGAGAGAGAGAGCCAAGAAAGAGGGAGAGAGAAAGAGAGAGATAAAGTAGCTTTTTAATCAGATTTACCTGGTTTCTGTTCTTGGTTAGGTATGGTGGCACGTCAGCAATGACAATCTTCTCTCCGCATGGTTTTGAAGAAACAACCGGCAATCACTGGGTAAGGGCCTCCATAAGGTGGCGCTCTACTCTATATGTTTAGCAGATTACGGTGACAGTAGCATGCAGGTATTGCTGACATGGCAGTGCATGACTTCACCAGCTTGGATTCAAGGCATTGGGGTGGATGCGTGCGTGCATGCGTGTGTGCGTGGGTGCCATGCGTGCGTGGGTGCGTGAGGGTGGGCAGGCTGGGTGCATGGGTGTAGGACGCAATGATTATGCAAACAAGATCTTCAACCCGTAAAATACTCATCTTGAAAAAGCCTGGCACCTCCTCACCTACATCTTTCCTGGGACAATGTGCTCATTGCACGTTGCCAACATTTGGAATGCACGAGTAATGTATGATGTGAGCACTACTGTAGTATTCTGGCATCAGGAGTGTACTGTTCAGCACCCAACACAGCCATGCTCAAGTGTACTGTTCAGCACCCAACACAGCCATGCTCAAGTGTACTGTTCAGCACCCAACACAGCCATGCTCAAGTGTACTGTTCAGCACCCAACACAGCCATGCTCAAGTGTACTGTTCAGCACCCAACACAGCCATGCTCAAGTGTACTGTTCAGCACCCAACACAGCCATGCTCAAGTGTACTGTTCAGCACCCAACACAGCCATGCTCAAGTGTACTGTTCAGCACCCAACACAGCCATGCTCAAGTGTACTGTTCAGCACCCAACACAGCCATGCTCAAGTGTACTGTTCAGCACCCAACACAGCCATGCTCAAGTGTACTGTTCAGCACCCAACACAGCCATGCTCAAGTGTACTGTTCAGCACTCAACACAGCCATGCTCAAGTGTACTGTTCAGCACCCAACACAGCCATGCTCAAGTGTACTGTTCAGCACCCAACACAGCCATGCTCAAGTGTACTGTTCAGCACCCAACACAGCCATGCTCAAGTGTACTGTTCAGCACCCAACACAGCCATGCTCAAGTGTACTGTTCAGCACCCAACACAGCCATGCTCAAGTGTACTGTTCAGCACCCAACACAGCCATGCTCAAGTGTACTGTTCAGCACCCAACACAGCCATGCTCAGGTGTACTGTTCAGCACCCAACACAGCCATGCTCAGGTGTACTGTTCAGCACCCAACACAGCCATGCTCAAGTGTACTGTTCAGCACCCAACACAGCCATGCTCAAGTGTACTGTTCAGCACCCAACACAGCCATGCTCAAGTGTACTGTTCAGCACCCAACACAGCCATGCTCAAGTGTACTGTTCAGCACCCAACACAGCCATGCTCAAGTGTACTGTTCAGCACCCAACACAGCCATGCTCAAGTGTACTGTTCAGCACCCAACACAGCCATGCTCAAGTGTACTGTTCAGCACCCAACACAGCCATGCTCAAGTGTACTGTTCAGCACCCAACACAGCCATGCTCAGGTGACTCACAGTAGTGTGCAGAATGTGCACGGGCGTGCAAACTACTGTAAAATCGGAAAGTCTAACGAGTCACAAAGTCTAACGTTTTAACGACCAATAATTTTTCATTATTTGAAAAAATCATTATCGCTAGATGTCTGTGTAAAGATGCGCATACAGATGGATGGCCAGATAGCCATCGTTAAACTTTCTGCACGTAATCATACCAAAATTATAAAAACGTTAAACTTTTTGGTCGTTAGACTTTCCGCTTTTCAGTACGTGATTGCATCACGAACTTTGAACAACATGGCTTTACGTGCTCGTGTAATGGGGCACCAGAACGGGCGATGAATGTCATGACTTGGACATCTGGTGATGTTTTGATGTTGCGGTGTTGTACGTAACTGTGCACTGGTACGTGTGTGTAGATCGACGTTTGATATTGACCCGATCTCTCCGTGTGCTATCTGTCCCATCAGGATCTTCTATGGACGATGGTTCCGCAATGGGAGAACATGGCGAAAACGGGCAACCATCACTACAAGCCAAGGCCATGGCAGGTACATGTACATGTATATATACGTGTGCTTCAGTCGTCCATTACACGCGGCACAGTGTCAGCAATGCAAAGAGTGCCGGGTTTAGTACTGCTGGTGTGGAGAGCCTGACTGTAGCATCTCAAGTGATCTGATGGCAATGCAGCCACTAAACAGAAGGATGGATTTCCATTTCTATTTTAAAGCGAGATCTTTTAAAACTTGGAATACAGTAGAGTGCCGATTATCCGCACCACTCGGGGTGCGGACTGTCTCCAGAGAGTTCGGATGAGAAGAATGTTCGGATAAGGGAGCAGTCGCACAGCTATCTAAAACATGCATATTCCCGCATTTTCACCATTTTTTGTCCTCTTCGGCAGTACAACAGGAACTAGGCACACTCCAGCTCCTCAACATGACACTATCGTTATACATTTCGACTCCAACCTGTTGTAATACATCCTGTGCATCGCTTGAATGGTGCTGCGAGTGGCGAAATCAGCAAAACCACGAAAACCTGCTAATTTTGTTTTTGACCGGCCGGACCAGGCGATCCGGATAGTTGGCGCGCGGATAATCGGCGTTATACTGTATCAAGACCTGTGTTGAATATATTCTGCAATGTAACAACAATACATTTGATGATGTTCTGGCGAAGATGGTGGTGTTGCCAATTTTCTACACAGAGCAGTCGTCATCCGCAACATTTTTGGGAAGGAGTGCCGATGCATGCTCCTATAACGTCTTAGCCTTTCATCAAGCTGGTGGTCACATACAACACCCTAAATAGAACCAAGGCCGTGTGAGTTACAGGCAACGGTTCTCCCTCTGAAAACCTAGCATACTGCTAGCAAGAGTACATAACCCCAAGAGTGTGCAACTGCCTGCACAACCTCTATGCTGCGCTGCGACGGCAGAACTTCACATCACGTGACATGGTTCAAAAGGTTATGCTGGCAAACAGTGCAAAGTGACCACAAGAGAGTTGTACCCAAAGCTGGGCTGCGTACAACCCTGTATCTATCATGCACAGAGTGCGAATAATGTGTACGGGTTCATCACGTGATGTGAAGTTCTGCCGTCGCAGACCCCATAGCTGGAGTTGCACACTCTTGGGTTATGTACTCTTGCTGCTAGTGACAGGCCTGGTTCAAATCTGGCCTTGGGAAATTTATTTTTCGTTGCTATCAGGTTCGGCCTCATTTTCTCTGTGCTGCGCTGATGAGTCCACAGAGGATAAAACAGTTCTGTCCGTAGATTGAGCATACTTTTGGTTAGATATTCATTCATTCATGTGAGCACCACGACAATATGGTAATGCTTTGCTCTCTGACCAAAGGTCCACAACCACTGCCTGGGACTGAAGAACAACGAGGGAATGGCTGGTACGAAGGAATCACAGTGGAAGCATGTCTGGCAGATGCAGCTGCGGTATGGCGAGGAGGAGTTTGGCTTTATGCCGGAAACATTGGTTCTACCAGAGTAAGACGATATGTAAGAAACAGCTGTTGGTTTGGTGTTAATTCCTAGCAATATTCACCACTGTACTCGGCATGCGACTACTACTGCACATTTCTCCACCACTCATGTTGTTGCCATCTACATGTTATTGCATTTTACCACTGCTCTCTCTCTCTCTCTCTCTCTCTCTCTCTCTCTCTCTCTCTCTCTCTCTCTCTCTCTCTCTCTCTCTCCACCACAACTCTCTGTGCTTGGCGCAATGCATGCTACTCACAGCTTACTACCTGCAGCCATCGTGTTAATACCAATACTTTGTACTGAGTTTGTAGCACTCTGTGACTCTGCTGTCCAGTCTTTGATTTACATTGTTGTACGATTTACTGTAGTCCTGGGTCCACACCATAGGAATGATTAAATTGCTGTGTTGTTGTTTTTGCTTTGATACTCTATCCTATGTTTTGCACAGTGACGAAACAAAGATCAAGGAGCGTCTTCGCTCATCGCCGCAACCCTGGATCTTGAAGCCGTCAATTGGGAAGCAAGCACTTGGTGTGAAAATCGTTACAAATCGCAAGCAGCTGCCAAGTTTCCGACAGAAGGAGAATGCTGGGAAGAGGTTTGTCCTGCAGCGCTACGTCACTGATCCGCTTCTCGTACTTGGCCGGAAGTTTCACATGCGCCTCTACTTGGTCTTAACAAGCCTGTCTCCTCTACGAGTACTGGCACACGATGAGGGACTGGTGCTGTTTGCTGTGCACAATTACTCCTTGGATGCAGGCACGTTTGAAGACATGAAAGTGCACCTGACCAATTCGGCCGTTGCTGACCGAAACAAGGCGCAAGGCTCGCTGAATGGGTGGCTCTTGAGCACACTGTGGAAGCATTTGACGTTGGTGATTGGCCACAGCGCAGTCCAGTCGATGCAAAGAGATATTGACGATGCATTTGTCAAGCTGGCACTCAGCGCCCAGTTGGAGAATGGCGGATTTGAGCAGCGGCGCTCCGGCGGATGTTTTGATTTGCTCGGCGTTGACGTGCTGGTTGACAGCAAGCACAGAGTACATGTGATGGAGGTCAACGTTGGCCCAGAGGTTGTATCCCAGGATCCAAGTACACACGAGGTATGTGTATTCATAGTGCATGATGTTCATTCGAGAAAAGAAAAAAAAACACTAACTTGTATTTGGTGTTTTGGAAGCCTGGCCTGCCTTTCTATTGGTTGCATTTCGTTTGGATTCCGCACTGGGCAGGCTATATCGGTATATGGATTAGAGGACTCGGTCCGGTGTAGTAGCGAACGTGTTCTGTGCCGCTTGGTGATATGCAACAGTCATCGCCGGATTCACAAATCCACAGTATGGATTGGTCCGGACTGAAGAGCCGCGGCGGGAAGCTGTTCTAGATGGAATCTTGTTAGACCCCCTGTACGCCAATACCCGATTGGCCAAGATTTGTTATGTCCTAATATAGCACTTGTTTGGGGTGGCGTTAAGCAGGCACTGGTGTGAGCAGAGGTACTACTTCAAGGTATAAGGTCAAAGCAGGTGCTTTCCTTTCTTTTCTTTTTGATACTGTTTGGAAACAATACTCTCGGCACTAGTTTGGGAGACATTGATAATAGAAATGGATGCCTCTGTGAAGACGTGTAGTCAAAATATTCTGAGTAGCACAAGATATCAATGTTGGTGATGGGATGGCTCATGATGTTCTTCTTTTCTTTTCATTTTTTTCATTGTTGACGCTTCAGGCCAACGAGCTTGCTCACAAAGCCGTGCTTACAGATCTTGTACCGCTGGCGGCCATGACTGACTCTCCGGAGAATGTAAAGAAAGGCTTTGAAGAAAAGTAAGTAAGGTGGAGTGTCACTGAACCAAAATTGCAGCCACTGTCTTTATGTTACGTTGAATGAGAGTTCGTCATGCTTGGAAATGCAATTATATTTAATTGTACTACCCATTTGCTTGTACATGCTTCATTGCAGACTTCTTCAGTTCATGGATGAGCATAAGCAATCGCTTTGTGCCCCAAACGCCTTTGTCCTGGAGACCGCTAACTGCCTCACGACGCAGGATGTGGAGGATCTGTGGAGGCTGCACAGAGAGGTGGGTGCATGAACTAGGCATCTTAACTAATGACATGGAGGACACTTGTGCACGTGGCACGGGGACATGCCAATGACGTATACGTGGTAACTCAACTGTGCATTGACTTCAAGTACATGAAAATAAGAACGATCCAGGCTACGAGGCTGACCCCCCCCCCCCCCCTCTCCCAGTTCTTTTGCACCCGACAGTACTGGCATGCTACATTTCACACATACCCGGTAAAGTACCGTTGATCCCCCCCCCCCCCCACGCCGTGTCGCTTCCCAGCTCGTTTTTCGGCAGGGAGCGGGAATTAGCCTATGATCAAGTCGTTCAAGTGCAGTACGATGTACAACAAAGCAGAAGATCAGACCTGGGATGCTGGATTGTGCACATTTTCATCCTGCACTCGCACTTATTGTGTACAGCAGTACATGGGTCGGTTCAACATCGTATTTCGTTGTATACGTCGACGTCGCTTCGCAGGCAGAAATTCGACAGGGGGCGGGAATTAGAGAGGGAGCGGATCAACAGTACTTTACGGTATACGCGCATACGAGATACCGAGCAGGATGATGGGAGAAACTATTCACAGGTCTTTAATTCCCTTTCTCCCTTTGTGCTTCTGTTATGCTCAGACTGTACTTCTAGGTCATTTCCGCCGGCTATATCCAGCGCCAGGTACATCGAGCAAGTATACACAGTACTTCCATGCTGGATTGGATCCACGCAACTACTGGGCATTGAAATGGGTCGACGACTACTACTCGGTGACTTGAGAAACTATGATCTTGAATGAGTCAGTGGTTCTTTGATCTCGGGACAATTGGCTACAGTATCTCAATCGAGGCTACGGGTCGGGGACTCTGGCTATCAGCCACACGTCTTCTCTGAATCAAGTTGGCTTGCTGCTGCAATGCTACCCGAATGTCGACTGCTAATGGCCCGCTATGCAGGGAAGCAAACGGAGCTAAGGCACAATCAGGCAGCCGTGCCGGATCTGAGCCGGGAGTGAAGGCAGCAATAATACAGTACCCACACCGTGATGTGGAACATCCTATGTGCCAACATATCTCCTTCAGCTGCATCATTACATGAAGGGGTAGTGACTATCGAGTTTTCCAACTGAACAGCTATCTTCAGCTTCTCGTTGATTCACTATTCTTCCCCCTTTTTGTTTTCTATCATTTTTAAGCGAATTCTTTATCTGGTGCAGTCTGCCTCGTAACACAATGTGTCCGCTCTGGCTGGAGAGACACAGACAAGTCATGACGAGGACAGGCTGCTTCTGTTAACATGTGAAGAGATCATCCGGTGCACTGCTACTTGTATATTATTCTACTGACTACAGCATGCCGGTACTTCGGACTACACAGTAGTTGCTCAACTAGTATAGCACTACTCTGCCATTTTGCTCTCATTCCCAGCTGCTGGTTTCGTCAGTTTACTTGGCCTGACATGAGCATGTTCGGTATCGACCTTGACACTTAGCTGATCAGGCAATTCCTTTGTATGGAAACTTCCATCAAAGTGTGTGTTTTAACTGCTAGGAACGGTTGATGACTGGTGCGAAACTCAGCAGCAAACAAGACTCAAGAGCTGCACTTTGTCCTTCATTGAGTACCTGCGGTCGACTGCATTCCTGGCATGTGAATACTGGTCCTAGATTTTAGTATGTAACTTGTGACCAATGAAGACTCCCTATCTCCAGATCCCAATCGACATAGACTGCGTGAATTTGATTCTGAAAGTTTATTCCATGTGCGTGTTGTGCAAAGCATTCCAACAGGGCTTGAAAGTGCTACGCATGTTAGACCGGAGTCGTACATGCTTCATCGGGTAGCTTTCTTCACAGGAGGGTGATCCATCACATGCAAATGCAGCAATCGTTTGATCCCTCAGAGCTCAATTCAACAGAAATGTCGGGTCGAGCGAAGTCACAAAGTGTTTCTTCCGGAGGAGACACTGGCCCGGATTTCACCAATCACAACTGCATAATATGGATCAGGGAACTGTGTACTGACAGAGTCTGTACCAGTCATCAGGGCCGGCGGAACCGGTCAGGCTGGTCCGGCCATGGCCGGACCACTTTCCCAGCTGGATGGTCCATGTGATTCGTGCAAAACCGGTGTAAAAAAATCCAGAGGTACATGACTCGACTGTATTGCCGACGTGTGATGTGCTTCGAAGTAGCTCAGGACTCCGTGACCGGCACTGTATGGCTGATATGGATAAAAAAAAGTTGTGTTTGTGTTCTTTTACTATAATTTTCTGCATTTTCTGGAGCCTTAGAGATGCCCAAATAATAATTCGCTCTATTTCACGTAAATTTTAAATATTTCTCCCGGGGGAGGTCCCCCGGACCCGCCTCAAAGGTTCGCCGGACCACTCACAAACTCCTTCCTCCGGCCCTGCTCATAGTGTTAGATCTATTTCAGTAGTCATGTTTATATGGTGACGTGTTTGTGTGTGTGTGTGTGTGTGTGTGTGTGTGTGTGTGTGTGCGTGTGTGTGTGTGTGTGTGTGAGAGAGAGAGAGAGAGAGAGAGAGAGAGAGAGAGAGAGAGAGAGAGAGAGGGGGGGGCAAACATGAGAAGAAAACCAGAATCGAACCCTGTGCCAATGTGATGTCTAAAATTCAGATAAACTGTCTGATATTCTCTAAAAAAATTGAAAACAAATTTGAAATAATTATCTAATAAATTCAATGAAGAAGAGCAAAGAAGAGCAGAATTAAATAATCCAAGTCTGAATTTCGCAGAGACCAACCTGCAGTAAGTCTGAACTGAACATGATGAAGTATGGCATTTCGCAGAGCCCAGCGGGGAAATCAATGTACAAGCAGTACAAGGGAACAGCGGGGGTGAAGGGTGGGAAGGGGAAAGTACCGGCAGGCCGCAAGGGAGACGCATGTACAGTAGCAAGCACGTCACTATTTACAACAGCGGTATCAGCAATGCAATGCAATAACAATGCACTATTTACAACAGCGGTATCAGCAATGCAATGCAATAACAATGCACTATTTACAACAGCGGTATCAGCAATGCAATGCAATAACAATGCACTATTTACAACAGCGGTATCAGCAATGCAATGCAATAACAATGCAGCACGTCTCGTCTCTGCAGGAGCAGGGTGCTGGCTGTAAAGGCAGATCAGCAGACAAACTCAACAACAGAACAGCAAGTAGCAGGGTACTAGCAGAGAACTGTACACAGCGGGAGTGTGACCAGCACAACCCAAACATGTACACAGCAATAGATCATGAACTCAATTATTTAAAAAAAAGAAGGGCAGAATTATAGAACAGCTCTTGTACAAATTGTACTTGTAACATGTACCAATTTGTCTTTCCTCTTACTCACCGTCCGTCCGAGTTCAAAATAATATCTAATATTTTCTGCCGAGAAGTCCAGTAGTGTGAATACTGTTGCACAGTCCACATAGCTAGTCACATGAAGGTATCCAGTCCTCAAGCTTTCCCCAGCTGGCACCACATTTCAGCTTGACAGGCATCGGCACGGAGAGCGAGAGGGCATTTTCCATCTCCCGCTTCACCAGCCCACCCACGCTGTCGCGCAGATCGCGCCGCACCTCGTACATCAGCTCGTCGTGCAGCTGCAGAACGAGGAAGGCGGCGACGCTCTCCGCAGACACGGGCGAGTCGTGCTTGACGCGATGGTGGCACGCAAACACGCTGCCGTGCGTCCGCGTCAGCGCTTCATCGATGTTGATCATCGCGGTCTTAACAAGATCGGCCGCAGAGCCTTGGATTGTAGTGTTCACAGCCTGACGCTCGGCCTGAGAGCGAGCGGCTGGTGACGTGCTGTTGATGTTCGGTAGAAATCTCTTGCGGCCGGCGATGGTGATGACGTAGCCCGTGGAGCGGCACTTCCGAACGACGTTGTCCATGAACTGGGTGACCACGGCGTAGGCCTGCTTGAAGGAGTTCATGAACTTGGAGGCGGCGTTGACGTCCACGCTCAGCTGCGTGGCGAGGCCCTTGGCGCCGATGCCGTACAGCATTCCGTAGCAGACCTGCTTGGCCTGCTGGCGTTGCTCGGTGGACACAGTGCTGACGGGAATGTGTAGCCACTCGGAGGCCATGCTGCGGAACACATCCGCACCCACATCGTGCAGGATAGCACAGAGCTTGGGATCAGCGGACAGGTGGGCGAGCAGGCGCAGTTCCAGCTGACTGTAGTCGGCGGCAACCAGAACGTGCTCGGCCGACGGGACGAAGAAGTCGCGCATCACCACCACGGACGAGGGCAAGGACGTGGGTCGGATCATGGAGACGTATGTCTGGTCGATGAAGCCGCTCTCCACCACGTCGACGGAGATGTTGAACTCCTTGGGCACGTTCTGGACGTTCGGATCGCTGAGCGCTATGCGTCCAGTGGCCGTGTGCAGCTGCACGACACAATGCACACGCGCCATGCGCAGTCCGCTGTGCTCTTTTAGCTCCTGACGCAGCGGTAACACGACCTTGCTCAGTGCACTGTTGATGCGCCGCCATTCCAACAGGATGGCCGGTAGTGGATGCAGGGACGACAGCTTGATCAGGACTTCCTTGTTGGTGCTGAACTTCTGCAGGCGACTTGCTGCGCCGCGTCCACCCCGTGAGCTCCGCGTTGTTCTTCTTACCGCCGTGTTGGACGTCTTGCTGGGATCAGGTGGTAGCCGCAGCTCGTGGAAGAGCACCGTGGAAACATCAGCCGGTGACGTCAGAGCAAAGCTGTGCCCGGCAATGCCAAACGCCTGCTCCTCCAGCTCGGTGAGACGCTGCTGCAGGATCAGCTGCTGCTTGTTGCACTCGGCTGGATCGGCGCCCATTCCGCACAGCTCCATGCGTGCGAACGCCAGCGCGGCACGGCTCTCGGTCTCCTCCAGAGCAGTCCACAAGTCTTCGGCGATGAGCAGCGGCTTGAAGTGCTTCATCAGCAGCCAGGTGAGGGCAGCGGTGGCTACGGATGCCAGTCGAGCAGGTCGATGCGGAGTCGTGGCCAGGTAGTACAGACTGTCCTGTTCTTGCTTGCAGTAGTTGGGCAGCTCGTCGCGGATCAGCTGAGCAAACGAACGCTGATTACGATCCGGGTTCAGCATCCAGGCGCACAAGCGCACATCGCACACAGGGCCGTCCAGCATCAAGGACTCCGAGTCGCTGAGATTACGGCACGTCTCCTTCAAGTCAAACGTGTACAAAGTGTTGGTACGGCAACTACTGCACAGCAACCGACGCACAACTGCAAGGCGCTCAGGCATGCTAACGCCATCCAAGCTAGAATCATTCTCATGGCTGACATCACCAGCGTCTAGGGACATGTAGTAGATTTCAGATGCCTCCCAGCACACACTGATGCCGCGCAGAACGCGCCCGCAAGAAGCCGACGTGGCCAGTGTAGTGACCTCCGTGTCAAACAGGGAAGTCCCCATCGTAGTGGTGGCACACGATGCCAGTGACACCGCAGCGGAAGACTGAGCGAAGTCTGAGCGCGCCTGCGACTCGCACGCTAGCGACACCGAGTAGCAAGTCTGAGCAGACCATTCCTTTAGGAAGGTCCGCAGCAGTCGCCGATGTCCACAGATGTCAATGACAACAAAGTTCTTCTCGGCTGCCGGAGTCAGTGACAGCGCTTGGCTCGCCTCCCTCAGCAAAGAATCGTCCAAGCCGTCATCTGTGAACAGGTCATCAAACAGGCTGGACGTGCAGAAGATATCGGCCTCCGGAATGTTCAGATTGTCCGAGGAGTCACGACTGGCTGGCAGTGGTTGTTGTGCAGTGTACTCGTGTCCTAGCTGATTGGCATCTACTCTGGGCTGGTGCGTAGGATCTGCACATGCACTGCTAGTAGAATTGTTTTGTTGTGCCGCTGCGACAGGATCATGGCTAGTAAGATCACCGGTGTGTTGCTCATAACACACGTCCACATTGAAGCCCTCGCTGTCCTCGCGGGCCAGGCTGACACCAGTAGCGTACGCCGGGCTGGGGTCGCCATTGTCGAACAAGTCCTGCGACTGGTCAAACATGCTGCAGCTGATGTTATCGCTGCCCAGCATGCTGGCCGAGATGAGCTGCGGTGAGCTGGCAATGTTACTGCTGCTTCTACTGCTCTTGACGTGCGACGAGGACCCAGCGCATCTCCCATTGGTGAAATGCTCGGGCGTGGATGAACGTGTGTGTGCCTGCGTTGCTCCGGCCTTGCTGGCGTAGCGAGCCGAAGCACTGGCACAGGCACTGCTCGCAGAGTCCAGAGGCGTGCTGCAGACCAGCCGCGAGCGGCGAAACTCAGCCGGAGAGCTCTCCTCGTTGCACGGAAACGATGGACTGCGCTTTCCCACACTCGCCGTGGCCGCGCTTGCAGTGGCAGCATCAACGTGAGATGATGATGATGATGATGAAGCAGAAGGATGAGAATGTTCTTGTGGCCGGTTCTCTCTCCTGGCCAGCTCTGGACTGTGGAGCAGCCGCGATGCGGATATAAACCCGTTGAAGTGCTGCTTGTCTGACGGCTGACTGTGTGAGAACAAAGACCCTGACATTGCACCCAGCTCCATTGCGTCAGCAAGCGCCTCTAATTCCTCTGGTGGGTAGTCGTCGACTGCGTCGAGATTGTCCACCGTGCTATGGGCATCGGTTGGCAATGTAGGTACTAACTGTTCATCGGGTAGCATGTTGCAATCAACTGCTTCTTGACAGCCAGCAACATCAAATGGCTGTGAGCTCGGTGGTGGCGGGTCTTGGTGCGGGTAATGGCTTGAAGTTGAATTACCGGTATGATTAGAGTCCTGAGCATCGGGATGACTAGAATCAACATGTTCATGTTGGCCGTTACTAGTGTTTGCACTGGCAACAGGTGTTTCCGATAAAGAGGGTGACGAGACCCGTGCAACACTGTGTTTCGTTACCTTACTGACAGCTGGTTTAACAACACTAGCTTGTGTGGATTCAGGCTGCTGGTGCTGTGGCTCGAGTGGAGGCTTTAGTGCCGTAACAGCTGCCTGCACGTCATCACGACTTCTTTGATCACTCTCGGCTACTGGCTGGTCACGATCGCTGGAATTGCCAACTCCGAACGCTGGTCGCTCTGGAGCAGCACCAGACTTTAGAACAAGCGCCCGCGCTTCTTCCTGAATGATCGCTGCAGCATTTCCGTCGTCAAGATCGTAGTGAAATCCACGCCGGGTGTAGCGACGTCGTAATCGTGCCACGCTGTCCACTCTATCAGCAGCAGCAGTAGCTGCAACACTGGCGGTGTCATGATCCTTGCGACTGCGGAATGGGGAGCACTGCCGCAAGATCGACTCAATGGTGGAGACGTCGGCGGCAGCGATGGCCTGCAGAGTGTGCAGGTTAGAATTGTAAAGAGCACGGGCAGTGGCAGCATCCAGCAGGCTGATCTGCAGCATGTCGCACAGCTGGCGCTCCACGCCGAAGATGAGGCGGCTCTGAAACTGGTCCAGCAACAGCTGTAGGTTATGCCACCCGAGGCCACTGCAGAACACCGTCACCATACCAGCGAACGTAGCGGCAGCCTGCTGTAGAGACTGCAGCAATCCGCGAGATGCCGAGTACTTGGCAGCTACTTCGGCCAGCGGCACTTCGTGCACCAGGTCGTGCAGTGCGAGAGCGGTGTAGAAACGACGGTGCACTAGCTGTTGACGCTTGGCGCGCGTGGACTTCGCCTTGCGGACACCACCACCATGAACTGCATTCACCAAGAAAGCCTCCTCCACTCCAACCAGATCACCCACACGTTGTAAATCAGCTGGCAGCTTGCTGTAAATTGAGAGGAAGCGGTACCAATCCAAGCCGGGCCATTGCGCTTGCAGGTAGATTGGAGTGACTTGGTAGACAATGTGTAGCTCATTCTCCAAGACAAAGCACCGCTGAGCACGCTGCAGCTCAGCAAACACTTCCAGGGCCTCACCGGGAGATAGAGACGATGACATTGTGGCATTACCTAATTGCGTCGAGTAGTATGTACGAGCATCACTGACCTGGGAAGAGTCCATAGCACCGCTAGACACCGGCGAAGCAGTCAGCTCAGGTGAGTTCTCGTCTTGTCGCACAGCGATGAACTCATTGTCCAGAAGGAACTGCAGCGCGGCCAAGACCGATTTGCGCAGAGGACTGCTGGTAGTGGCGGTGCGCCGACTGCTCGATGCTCGTCTTCCTTTAACGCCCGATGGCCGTCGCCGTCTCGGTGTGCTCTGTCCAGTAGCTTGGCTGGGTGACTTGCCAGTAGCTTGGCTGGGTGACTTGCCAGTAGCTTGGCTGGGTGACTTGCCACTAGCTTGGCTCGCACTGGCCTCTATTTCCTCGGCAGCAAGTAGAGTGTTACTGGCATAGCGCAGGATGTCGGCATGAGTCTTGGCGACACGGCTGACAATGATCTCCAGCAGTGCCCGTTGCATGCCGGCGGCTTTGCCTTCCTCGCTGTCCGCACGGCCCGCCAGACAGCTGTGCACGGGTAGCAGCGGGGATTGCAACAAAGCCTGGATTTTGCTCTTCTCACTAGCTTTGCAGATCATGAAGCTCTCGCCCATGTCGTCCAGCCCCTTGCGCCCCGCACGCCCGACCATCTGATGATAGCTGAGTATGTTGACCAGGCTGCCGTGGAAGTGTGGGGTACGGATCAACACACGTCGTGCTGGTAGATTGACGCCCGACGCCAGCGTAGAGGTAGCGACCAACAGGCGAATGCTCTGCTGACGAAACCCGGCCTCCAGCACATCTCGCTCCTCCATCGTCAGGCCGGCGTGATGGAACGCAATGCCGTAGGGAAGAGTCTTGCTAAGAACGCTGTCCAGACCGACTGGAGTGCTTTTGAGCTGGTCGGCCACATTGGAGAGGGCCGTATGCTCCTCAGTGCTGGGCTTCGGACACAGTCTAGATGCCATTTCAGCAAGCGACAGGGCGACCTTCTCGCATCTCGCTTTCGTTGGACAAAAGATCAACACACCGTGCCCTGCTGCAAGAGATTCGCGACTCAACAGGAAGATATCGTCGTCGTCGCCTTTGATCGTCTTCCCAGACACCGAGCGTACTTTCTTCATGTCAATGTCATACACGGTGTCGCCGGCCTTGACGTACTGTGTCAGCGGGACGGGCCGAAAATCCGTACAGTACAGCTCGGCGTTGAGCCAGCAAGCCACGGCAGGTAGATTCGGTAAGGTGGCGCTCATGCCCACAATCTGAATAGCCGGTAGTTGATGAGAGCTGGGCGTTGATGCTACGGCAATGTGCTGTGCCGGGTCACGAGACGTCGAAACAAACTGTACTTTGGTGAGCAGAAGTTCCAGTAGATATCCCCGATGGGAATCACCCAGCATGTGCAGTTCGTCCACGATCATCATGCACAGCTCGCTGACACGACCCTCCTCCAGTAGCCGATTCACAAGACTGTTTGCACGCTCGATCGTGCATACGGCCACGTCGACGCACGTGAAACCACCGCGGGGTGTGTCCGAGCCGACGAACGCACCCACGCGGATACCGACATCGGCAAAGACGCGCTGCAAGTGTTTGGCCTTCTCCCTGGCCACGCTGACGAATGGCAGGATGAGAATGGCACGCCGGCGTGTCTCCAGCACACGTTTCAGCAGCAGCAGTTCAGCGACAATGCTCTTGCCGCCGCTGGTGGGAGCGGAGTACACAAGATTCCGGCCGGCCAACACATCTCTCTGCACCAGACACTCGGCTTGCCACGGGAAGAGGTGACTCACGCCAGCATTGCCAAAGTGCTTCACAACACTGTCTGGAATACCCCACGCAGCAAGCTTCAGATTATCGGCAAGGTCAGCGGCAGGGAATGACTTGGACAGCGGTGAAGTAGTTTTCGGCAGAGGAGATGGGTCGGAGCGGCGGGCTGGTTTGGCTGTATCGGCGAGACATGGACTACTTGTCGATGTGTGTGCTGGAGCTAGGCTTGTATTCGGGTCTGGCGACTGAAGAGCTTTCAAACCAGCTTGCAACCGATCAGAGCGCGCTGATGACACTGCTGCTGCTGGGCGTACTGGCACAGGTGGTGGGGCAAACGCAGCTGGTGAAGCTACTCCAGCAGGGGCAGCCTCTGGCGGCGTAGGTGCTGCTGACACTGAAGTTGGCGAGGACCGTGCTCTGCCGTCAATCTGGCAAGCGTGCTCCTCAACAGCTGAGCGAGCTTGTACTCCCTCGTTGTAGTCAGAGGGAGCTACATCAGCTGCAGATTCAGATGCATCAGGTGCGAACAGCTGCTGAATAATACTTTCTTGGTGGTAACTAGCCGAGTTGACACCAGTCAGTGACTTGGTTGCTTGGCCTGCTTGCCCGGACGCTGGCTGCGGCACCCCTTCAGCACTAGCCTGGCGATTCATCTCTTCAAGCTCGTCTACCAATCCAAACACTTGGCTGTCCAAAACACTATCGAAGGAGCAATTCATAGACACGCCAATGGCACTGTGGCTATCAACGGAATGTTTCGCAACTGTAGTTGATTGTCCTGGCGGAGCAGTGTCCTCGTCACAGGCGAGAGAAGTCAAGTCGCCAGAGAAGGATGACAATAAGCATGATGGGGGTGTCACCACGACTTGCGTTGGCAGCTTTCTCATCGTACTGGGTGTCTGTCGGCCTCGCGCATGCTTGGTAGCGTGCCCGGCACGGGATTTCCCCCCAGAGAAAGCATGGGCTTGCTGGTGGATGGGAGTACACGGGTTCCTGAAACATGTCCGCTTGCGTGGTGCCGCTCCAGCCAATGCATCGTGGCCAGACGGAGACGAAGAACCATCACTGGCGACCGCACTGTTGTTATTTATGCCGACCGGGGATGATAGACGGCGAGGCGGCATCAAGCCCGATCCACAACGGCGTCTCTTTGTGGCAGGATGACCGGCATTCATGATTGTCAGCAAGAGCAGCAGCCACTGCGCACACACCGCTTTCACCACTGATTACTGCGGCACTGCACAGGCTAACCATGTATGTGACAGGCTGTCACCAGTGCTGACTTCCTACATTGGTCTCTCCACACTACACCGGTATTTGAAGTGAGCCCAAACACTTCATGCTTATGCTCCCCCTGAAGATCAATCCAGCAGCATGGCCGTTGAAGATTCACAAAGTGATCTAGGGAGAACATCATTCATTGATTTCGGTATTCCATGGTCCAGCACACTTCCGTAAAAATAATCAGAGATAGAGTACATGTATACACTTTAAACTTTGTGAACAAGTCTGCTCAGCTGCAACTACTACTATGAACTTTCAATATGCTACCACACACTGCAAGAATGATCGAAATCTGGCTGGTTGATACCGCGTACCGTGCAGCGTCCAAGTAGGTGGGTCTTCAAATTTTCTCCTCGACACCTTCCAGGTGGGGCCACACTGCCTGCTGGTACATAATGGTGCAGTGGTGGTGATCGAGAGAGAGAGAGAAGAAGTGCTCGTATGTAGTCTACTGGACACCCTCATCGATATTAATTTTTTTGTGATACCCATTCATCGATATCGCGATCGTCACTCATCCATGACGTGATGAACATTCTGACCATCGTCCGCGTTCTTTTCCACGTTTTCCACATTCAAATTTTGCGCCATATTCTATGATTCGTCAAGGCAACACGGGTTGTCTTCGCGATCGATCGCTCGATCAGTACGTAGTCTACAAGTCTACGTACGTACTGGCTGTGTACATTAAATTTTATGTGTGCATGACATCTGTGCGCCGGCAGTCTCAATGGCGGGGTAGTCACGGAAACGGGTCTTTGAACAAGGAAAACGTGAAACGCTTTGCGAAAATGTGATGTGTGAAGTGCCGATATGCTTGCGTGCCGTAGGGACGTCGCGTTGTCTGACTGTGATGAAGTGAAGTCAAGCCGACACACCGACTGTTGTTTTCATATCTCCACTTTTCACAATGTTAGTCGGAGTCCATTCCGGCATTTGTCTCTGAATACTCTGTACTGTGCGCTATCTATCTATCACCTTCAATGCTCCGCATCGTATACAACTAGTTTTGTAAAAACGCTGTCATTCAAGGCACTTGTTTGAGGTTAAAAAGAGATTATTGAACTGATGATTTGCAGCTGAGTTGTGTGTTTATTGAGAATGGCCGAGGCTCGACTGAGACAGTTCAAGAACAAAGGCCGGGATGACTCGGTATGGGAGTTAGGTTTTTTAGCTTCTGAATTCTTCCTGATACGCAGTCCATGAATTCGCCATAGAATTTCAATGAAACTTTCTATCTTGTTTTCGGTGTGCATTTATTGGTATTTTCATGCTCAGTCAATGCGTCGTCGTCGTCAAGAGCAGTCAGTGGAACTGCGAAAGGTACGGTGCTGGCTGATAGCATCCAGTCATCTATGTCAACGTGTGGTATCCCAACCTAATGTAACAGCTATGCTATCCTTAGCTCATTCGCCTCATTATGTCCTGAACATTTGAAATTGTTTTTGTAACATGTCATATTTGGAGAATTGAGGAGTTTAACATGTTCTACTCCCAGTTAGGCCACCAGTCCGTGACCATGAGTATGCACCTGGGATCTCTTTTCTATAGGCTAGCCATGGTTATGATTTATGAGCTACCCTCACTACAGCTTGTAGCTTCATTGCAGCACATAATTCATTACGTAACGTAAAAAGAAAAGGACCTCTAAGTTGCTAGTTGTGACTAGAGCGCAGTGTATGGTGGAGGTGACTAACAGTCCACCAAAGTAATGAGATAACATACAGTCAGATAGTGCGGCAACAAGGCACGAAACTGACAAAGATATTGAGACATTCGACGACCTGACACCTAGCTCCAACACATCTACGAAGCGCAAACCAACAACCTTCCAACTTGGAAGGCTCAGGTGCGGAAAGTTCCAATGAGGGGAAGGGATGCGCCACGAAGATGTGCACGAGCTATGTCCCTCGGCAACAAAGAATGTCGAACGTTGCGGGATGATGTGTTAGGTGTCAGGTTGTTGAATGTCTCAATATCCTTGTCTGTTTTGTGCCTTGTCACACTATCTGACTGTATATTATCTCGTTACCTTGGACTGTTACTAGTCTGTTAGTCATAACTAGTAACTTATACTATCCTTTTCTCTTTACATATCACTATTGGCTCAACATCCGAGTAACGTAAAAACGAAACAAAAAAATCTATTTCCCTGTGTTTGTAAGTGGGTTCAGCCGAACCCGAAGCTCATGTAACTATCCCGTATACGTAGGGATTGCACCGTGACCCGAAATGAATAAAGCAAAACTGCTTGGCGTGCTGCTACGTAAGATCATGGGTTTTGTGTGCACGAGTGAAGGGTGTGATCCCGGCAAGTAATTACTACATGGTGAAGGCAGTATGCTGGCACAGTGGCGCATGTTCGCAGTTACATGCTCTTGGTTAGACCTGTGAACAGCAATGCCCTGTTACTGTAGTCGACATGCATTTGAGCACTGGCTGTTGGACTGACGGGACAGACATTTTATCACGGGTTGAGTTTTGTTGTTGTTGCTGTTGTTGTTGTTGTTGTTGTTGTTGTTGTTGTTGTTGTTGTTGTTGCTGTTGTTGTTGTTGTTGTTGTTGTTGTTGTTGTTGTTGTTGTTGTTGTTGTTGTTGTTGTTGTTGTTGTTGTTGTTGTATCGGTAGTGGTGGGAAAAAGGTTGCAGCGACTCCAGCGATAGTTGGAGAATTGTGTGTAGGGAGCGACACACAATCCCCTTGGTAGTTAGTAGTAGTAGTTTTTGTTACTTCAAAAATTACTTTTATCGGAAATCGCTACGGACAGTTTCGTCTTATTACAGGGAACCAACCCTATTTGGTGTTCTTGTTTGTCTTTCCTATTTGAAGTAGCTCTATCCAATGTCTAATCTCTACTCCTATTATACTGTAAGTCTACAAATGTTCGGTGCGTTCAAATTTCGGCCTCTACTGCTGCTGCATGAATACACTGTCTCACTGAACCTTGAAGAATAAAATTTCGGGCACAACACATTTTCGTCCCGAAATGCCCAGGCCGAAAAGAAATATGCGCCGAATATTTGTTGACTTACAGTAATGGAAGTTCTTGTACTCTGGTCTTTGACTACTGTTTGGCCCCATATGATCTGTACTGCTATTGTATTGGAAGTGTTCTTGTTTGACGACTGTTTGTCACCATGTGATCCGTGCAGACCAAGCGTCTCGAGGCACTGAGCAAGCGTCGTCATGTCGACCTTGTCGAGGACGGAGAGATTGCCAATGGTGCGACGGACATGGGAACTGACTGTGCACAGCAGAATGCTATTGCAACTGTTCCACACGACATGCCAGCGTTCCATGTGCTGGTGAGCAACATGTATTTTTGTTTGCGTCATGTTTTGAATTTGTTTACATCATGCGAACTTGCGGTACATAGAAGTGTAATTCTCGTTCCTTTTGATTCAATCTACAAACGGCTCTGTTTTGTAGACATACTAGCACAACACACAGAAATGATTCCGACCAGTGGTTGCTATGGCTACATGTAGTGAAGGGAATATTTTAACTTTCAAACTTTGGCGACAGTGACATGCTATGTTTTTGTTGTTGTTGTTGTCATTCATAGCCGAAAGACAAGCAACAGGGCATCAACGAAGCCCTTACGGTGAGTTTTGTTACTAGCGATCAGCTGATGACGGAGATAGATTTCTGCAAATCATCATCCACCTAACAAGCAAGTGTAAAACCTGTCTTGGCGGTGTAGCTATGCTCAGCAGAAACTCATCAGTACTGGGACAACTTTCATATCTACACTTCACCGAGTTCTCCCTGTGTTAAGAGGTACCCTATCAGTTGCAGCTGTTCTGTCACAGGATTGCCTGTCCTAGTATTCCGGGAGGAGCATGGTGTTCTGGTGCAGTTCACCTTGCACACTCAGTCACTGCCAACGTCTAATATCTCCTCCATCATACTTAATCTCTCTCTCTCTCTCCCTCTCCCTTCCCCCCCCCCCCTCTCCCTTCCCCCCCCCCTCTCTCTCTCTCTCCCTCTCTCTCTCTCTCTCTCTCTCTCTCTCTCTCTCTCTCTCTCTCTCTCTCCTCTCTCTCTCTCTCTCTCTCTCTCTCTCTCTCTCTCTCTCTCTCTCTCTCTCTCTCTCTCTCTCTCTCTCTCTCTCTCTCTCTCTCTCTCTCTCTCTCTCTCTCTCTCTCTCTCTCTCTCTCTCTCTCTCTCTCTCGCTCTCTCGCTCTCTCGCTCTCTCTCTCTCCTCTCTCTCTCTCTCTCTCTCTCTCTCTCTCTCTCTCTCTCTCTCTCTCTCTCTCTCTCTCTCTCTCTCTCTCTCTCATGATATTGCAGTAGCTCTCTGCCCATCATCCCACTGGGTAGTCATGTGACTTTTCTTCTCACATGCATACATCCAGATGAGTTTGGGATATTCAACTTTGTGAGAACCGGACCTATGGGACGGTGGGAAGGCAATCAGGCCTGTGCAATTGGTGAAGTAAAATAAAAGTCAACAGCAACTGTCAAGAATACTTGTTTTTTGTTAGTCTCGCATAGCAGCGTTAATGCCCATGTACTTCAAGTATTTAATACTACACGGTTTTGATGCATGACATGTTTTGAGGGTTGTTGTTGCTGTTGTTGTTTTTGGTGGTTTGTGGTGGTGGTGGTGCTGCTGCTGCTGCTGCTGTCGTCGTTGTTGTCTCCTTCATGCAGTGCTTACAAGCCCGAGTCGACATTTCACCGACTATGGTGAAGATAAGGTTAGATTGAAATGTCTCTTCATTGCTTGAGCAGAACGGCGTGTTTTGTTACAGGTGGACAACAGAACGTACGCTCACTGTGTTATATATATATATATATATACCTACATACATAGACTAAGATGCTGCTCTGCGAATGGTCCAGTGTGCCTAGCTCAGTATGTGCCGTGTTCACTGCCGTGCAATGCATTATCCCATTGCTAGCAGAATAGGCCATGCTCAAGATACTGTACGGCCACGACTGGCAAACACAAAACCTTGGAGTTTATCTGCACACACTGCTCAAGTGCCTGTAGTGACAGAGCGCTTTACACAAGAATAGGAACAACTTCACCATGGGTATTGAGCTGAAGATAGTCCATTTGTGGTGTTCGCCATGCTCTGGCGAACCCAGTTTGACGTGCTACTCTCTCGCTTCTCTGGTCCACGTTTTTTTTCTATTCCACGTTCACTGGCTTGTTTCTGCTGTAGGCGACTGGTATCAACTTCGGACACTATTGATCCGATAATTCAGTAAGTTGTCATGATTATAGTGGCACGCTTCTGTGTTGAGTGCTTACTGCTACATGTAGTATCCTGAGTGTCAGACTTGTCACTGCCAATCACTGATCCTATTCAGTCAGCACTGGATACCGAATACTGTACCGGGATGACGTGAGAATGTATCGAGTGGTGGGGAGTTGTCGTCATGCGAATCACGTTCTGGCTAGGGCTTGTCAGATGTTTGATTAATGTGTTGTAACGATGTTACATCATTTTCTTCTTTGCCCTGGTGGTTTTCTGCTCTTTAGATTTAGTCCTGAATGTTCATATTATAAGGATAGGCTCGGATGGAGAGCCAATGATTAATTTATGGTAAAGAAACGTCATGGGGCATTGGTATAATCAGTTTGGCACATGCGAACCTGGGCAACCTCCATCCAATGGGGGCCCCAGCAACGCGGACGTGCTTATAATAATAATAATAATAAAGAAAAGGACCAAGGAACTACAAGTTACGCTATGATGTCCACTAACACCACCAGTTACTTGACAATCAGCTCATGCGATAACATTGCACAAAACTGACCGACAGTACTGACGTTCTACAACTAACTGACTATCACAGAAGTGCTAGAGCTGATAGCCAGTTAGTTGTAGAACATCCGTACTCTCGGTCAGTTTTTGTGCAGTGTTATCGCATGAGCTGATTGTCAAGTAACTGGTGGTGTTAGTGGACATTATAGTGTAACTTGTAGTTCCTTGGTCCTTTTCTTTACTATAAATTGTTCATATTGTATTTGTCTTTTTGTACTTTTTTGCTTGTGTGTGTATGTGTGTGTGTGTGTGTGTGTGTGTGTGTGTGCGTGCGTGCGTGCGTGCGTGCGCGTGCGTGTTTTACGTGTAATAGGTCTGGTCTGCTCCAAGAAGTTGTATCAGTGGCGGTTGAATCCAGCGAGTGAGTATTGTGTTTCATCGGGGTGCAGTTTGGGAACATGTGCAGTAATCTGTGTTGCCACACCTGCCGACATGTCAGTAGCCTGCCGATTTTTGAGGCCTGTAATGACCTGCTGACAATTGACCTTCTCCTGCCGACAACAGCCATGAAAGTATCCAAGTTTGCCCTTGTGCTTGGTTTAGAAGCCATGGTCCAGATTTTTGGCTATTACTGCTCATCACGAGTGTTTCCATAGCTCTCTCCTAAGGCGCTAAGCGAATCATCAGTTGCCTGGGGAAAATCGGCAAACTCAGCCTGAGTCTCATGCAAAGCCGTGAAAGGTTTTCTTAACAGTTCCGCGCCCGTGTGTGTCTGTGTATCTGTGTATTGGGGTTACTATGAAGGAGGGGGGGGGGGGGGGGAGGTCCGGGGGCAAAGCCCCCGGATGATGCATTTTAATTTTTTTTCATCCTACTGATATTTGGCTATAATGATGTGGCAAGACTGAGTAATGTGTGGGCTTGTGTGTGCGTGCTTGTGCCTGTGCTTGCTCGTGCCAGACGCCAGGTATTGGAAGAGTTCAGTTGGATCCTCACAAATGTGACTTCAGGCACGTCAGAACAGACGGAGGAAGTGGTTAACCTCGGTAAGTCTGCAAGGCCACCGTACCCTGTCAGGCCGTGTATATTATACCAGTGCAGGTCTATCCTGTACATTATACCAGTGCAGGTCTACCCTGTACATTATACCAGTGCAGGTCTACCCTGTACATTATACCAGTGCAGGTCTATCCTGTACATTATACCAGCGCAGGTCTATCCTGTACATTATACCAGTGCAGGTCTACCCTGTACATTATACCAGTGCAGGTCTATCCTGTGCATTATACCAGTGCAGGTCTATCCTGTACATTATACCAGTGCAGGTCTACCCTGTACATTATACCAGTGCAGGTCTATTCTGTACATTATACCAGTGCAGGTCTATCCTGTACATTATACCAGTGCAGGTCTATCCTGTACATTATACCAGTGCAGGTCTACCCTGTACATTATACCAGTGCAGGTCTACCCTGTACATTATACCAGTGCAGGTCTATCCTGTACATTATACCAGTGCAGGTCTATCCTGTACATTATACCAGTGCAGGTCTACCCTGTACATTATACCAGTGCAGGTCTATCCTGTACATTATACCAGTGCAGGTCTACCCTGTACATTATACCAGTGCAGGTCTATCCTGTACATTATACCAGTGCAGGTCTACCCTCTGTAGTAAACAACCCTGGGGGTTCAACATTGTTTTTGTCTTATAACTAGTATTATCTATTATCAGGACTTCCACATCTTTCTGCTGTGTTGCATCATTCTTATTCTATCCGCCTCAGAATTGATGTTTCCTCATTAGACCATGTTTTCTCCAGACCCATACACAAGACAACCCATTATAGGACAATTATTCCATCGGACCCCTATACAAGACAACTTGAAACATCGATCGAGCTAGCTAGAAAGAAACAAATCCAGAGAAATAGTGTTTCCGAACTTCACGCCAAGTTGCTGGCAGCGAACATGGAGCCATCCGAGCAAATTCGCAGTCCGTGGCCGTTTGCTTTGTCTTGTGATGAGGGAATCGAACCTCTGGGACAGCTAAAGGTGACGTTATAACGAATTTAGTCTATAAATAAATTACCTCGTATCCGGACTTACATGCACGACCACTAAATACATCTCGTCAGGGTATTTTGCATCGTTGTCTACTACAGTACTGTCGGGCGCCGAAGAACGGATAGCCCAAGAACGACCAGGCTAGAATTTCACCAAGCCCAGCATAGCAATGTATACATGGTGACTACTGTACATAGACTGTTATACATGAAAATAAGAACGGCCCAGGCTAGGAGGCTGACACCCCCCAGTTCTTCGGCGACCGACAGTACTGTAATGAGGTTTGTTGTGTAACGGAGGTAGGCCTGTACTGTGGAACCTGTCATCGTATGCCAGGCAGGGGCTGCGTTTTCTCTGAAAGACTGATGAATATTGGTGCTGCTGCTCCTTTGTTTGTGTTTCCAGGTTGTGTACCTGTTCTTGTGACGTTTCTCACACACGAGTCTCTGACATTGCAACATCAGTCTCTCTGGGCACTTGGTAACATAGCAGGTAGGTCATCACTATTCTACAAACACTACAATGCATTGATGAACATACTACTTCAAGTAATGCTCTTTGCATGTTACCGGCTGGATCCTTGAGGGTGGTGGCGTTCCTACAGTTTGGGGATGTATCGGATATCCGATTTGTCGTATTTATTCGATCTACCAGTGCTCCAAGAATATTCGAATAGGTTAGGAAAAATGTCAGGTTCGAAGGTTAGCAGATCTGATTGGTAATGGCGCCTTGATTGTTGGCATATCAGTACGTGTATCTCGTTGCCCTATTTCCTCTCTGCTCTCATCTAAGCCAAGCTGTGGACTCAGCATCATGCTGATACACTTCGACACTAGCATGCTAACTATCAGTATGGTCTCGAGGATCTGAAAAGCCGCCTTACTCTATGTTCTATTATTGCCAGGCGTTTCTTCCGTGAATAATCTCATGTGTTTTGGTGCATTTTCCACTGTCCAGGAAACAGTGCCGTGCATCGTGATCTCATTGCCAGCTCTGGGGTCATTCCCTACATCATCCAACGTCTTCAAGGCTGTGACATACACACCAAGGTAAGGATCACACTTGCCGGCGCATTCATTTCAGTTCGCCTTTCATTATTTTTCTTTCTCCCCTCTATTGTCAACATCACCTTTTCATCACCTTTTCGTGTGTGATTGTTAAAAAAATGAATAAATAAAAATAAAATAAATGCACCAGCCAAAGTGAACTCTGGCACGTCCGTCCATGCTCAAATCCAAACGTCGCATGCAGGCGGCAGCTCAAGCAACAGTTTCGAACTTATGCTGGCGTTGTTCTCTGTTTTCTCCTGGCTTCACTTGCGATTGACTATCCTTGTGTTGTAGCCATGTGGGCTAAGATATCCGTTCGCTAAGACTCAGTGTTGATTGCAGCACTTGGAAGTACTTGCATGTGTGTTCTGTTACTTAGTGTCTGTACATGGGTAGTACAATCTTGATCTTGGTGTGTTTGTGTATTCCCTCCTGTACAGAACAATCCACAAGAGAGGAAGGTGAGTGTTGGACTGGGTGTGCGGCTAGATTCCCTTGCTGGTTGTATGCCTCGGTCTGCATTCCATTTCCATTATATATCACGTCGTTTGATGTGATTTCCCTGATTGCTGACCCTTGACGGTTTCCAAAAACCGGTACATGTACTAGCCTATTAATGTGTAATGCTACCATATCTTCTAGTATTGGTCACCAGTGGAGAGCACAGCTAGATTTGTAATTCAGTACTGTGCTGTACTGTGTGGTGTGTGTGTGTGTGTGTGTGTGTGTGTGTGCGTGTGTGTGTGTGTGTGCGTGTGTGTGTGTGTGTGTGTGAAACATGCTTGTGCGTGTGTGTTCTGCTTGTTTCCCAATGCAGATTGCGTTCCTGGCACCGTGGGTCTTGTCAAATTTGTGTCGATTCAACAACCCATCTCCATCACGGCAACTAGCAGAAGTGGTACGTACGTCAATGTGTTTTCCTCTCTGTGTTGTCTGTGTGGAAGCCAGCATAGTGATTACCGGTACTGACAGCTGGCAATGGTCTTTTCTTGTTATGGCTGAGAGGACTGAATCAGGAGCGCACGGACAGTGTGCCAGCTATCAGCTACCCGGTCAATTCACCAGCCTTGCAAGCTGTCGAATGGTGTAGTCCCAGCACAAGTTGCTATATCTAGCATAGCTGTTCGCTATCATCGCTTCTGTGATGGGTATGTCTGATTCTGATCTACCCAGGTGTATCAGTACAATGCCTGGCCGGCTACAAGCTGTCTCTCGACGGCGTGTTTTCTCACTTTGTTTTGTCTCCGTTTTTTCCTGCAGCTTGTTCCTATCCTTGTGCTAATTCTCGGGAACCCCTCGGGACTGTTCTCACAGGTAAGCTGGTTAAACTGACTGAGATAAGTCGCGCCATGCGTGCACGCACACAACGTTTGTGTTACTTCCCAAGTACCTTCTGCTTCACAACAAGGAGTGTTGAAAATCGCTTTAGCACTCCCTAGTTCGCGCATGCGTACCGTAAAGTCGCGGATAAAAGCCGGGCTTATAAGCACATAAGCCGGTTTCTACATCAGGCTTTAATGCAAACCAGGCCTGTATGCAAACCATGCTTATATGCACCACTGATATTTTTTGCCAGGCTTGTATTCACGCTTCTACGCGCTACACGCGTAGATCTACCACTGACTACCGGTATGGCGGCAGTTTTACTATGCACTGTACATAGTGCATGCACTCTTGACCTACCCGATCCGCGCTTGCACAGAAGCCAGGCTTCTATGCGCGACAGGCTTATATGCATTTGACCCGTTTGAATTTCAGGCTTCTATCCGCGTTGTGCTTGTATGCAAACCCGGCTTTTATCCGCGACTTTACGGTATGCGCATCCTGTTTCAAACATCGTTTAGCACTCGCTGGTTTACACATGCATGTAGCACTCCCTATTTCAAACATGCATGTAGCACTCTCTGGTTCACACATGCATTTAGCACATGCGATCACACATGCCATAGAACTATAAGTCATACTATTGGATTACTTGTTGGGGTTTGTGTCTTGCTATAGTATGAGTTGAGGTCTGCTGTATGCACTGTCTTGTTCTGCATTGCTTTCTCTCTCTCTCTCTCTCTCTCTCTCTCTCTCTCTCTCTCTCTCTCTCTCTCTCTCTCTCTCTCTCTCTCTCTCTCTCTCTTTCTCTCTCTTTCTCTCTCTCCCCTCTCTCCCCTCCCTTTCTCGGTCTATCTAGTATCTCTTTCTCTCTCTCTTTCCCTCCCTGAGTCTTTCTCAACCAACCAATCTACCGTAAAGTCGTGGATAAAAGCCGGGTTTGCATACAAGCACATCGCGGATAGAAGCCTAAAAATCAAACGGGTCAATGCATATAAGCCTGTCGCGCGTAGAAGCCTGGCTTCTATGCAAGCGCGGATCGGGTAGGTCAAGACTAACAAGAGTGCATGCGCTATGTACAGTGCATAGTAAAACTGCCGCCATACCGATAGGCGATAGTCAGTGGTACGCGTGTCGCGCGTAGAAGCCTGGCTTCTAATAAGTAAGTTAGTTCTATGCAAGTCCGGATCGGCCGATGTGCATACAAGCCTGGCAAAAATATCAGTGGTGCATAAAGCATGGTTTGCATACAAGCCTGGTTTGCATTGAAGCCTGATGCAGAAAGCGGCTTATGTGCTTATAAGCCCGGCTTTTATCCGCGACTTTACGGTACCTATCTATCCTCATGTTGTACGTGTACTGTGCGTCTTTTTCTCAGACTGAGCTGCGGGATTGCTGCTGGGGACTGTCGTATCTTACTGATGGCTACCCTGGCGAAGATGGCGTTGATCCGTTAAAAGAGGTCGGTGCATCACTCTTCCCCGAAACCAATAGCTTTTCTGTCTGTTGTGCGTCCAACATCGTGCTGTAGTAGCTGTACAGTGTTTTCGTCTCCTTTGCCTTCGACTTGTTTTGTTTTATTTCTGAGTACCGGTTGATGCACATCTGTGTGCAGTGGAGAGTAAATCATGAATGTCATGTGGGCTTGTGTGACAGCACTCATCGAAGCACAGACATTTGGTATGTACTTGTGCTATGGTCAGTTCCAGTACCTTGCCTGGCCCACTGCACTGATTGCACGTTGAAGTCTGACTGTCATGAATAGAACTTCTCCATGGATGTATTGCCCACACGGCTGTTTGCACTACGAACACTGGGCTGTATGCACTTAACAATACGGCTCTGCATCGTCCACGGGCTCAGACGTGTTCTGAGTGTGATCTGATTTTCCTTTCCTTTACTTCTGCTTGCTGCATTGCAGATGATTTGTTCAGACTTTCAGCTGGTGCCTGTTGTTGTGGGAATGATCCAGAAGTCGTCGGTGAACAACGTATCCATTCTGGTGCCGTGTGTTCGCTTTCTCGGCAACATTTGCTCTGGCACTAACGCTCAGACAATGGTGAGCATACGCCATTCCCTTTTGGAGTATTGGTGCGTTGGCTTAGGTGCAGTTCTGCTGGTACCGCCCTCACCACCGTCGCCCGTGCTGCTGCTGCTGCTACTGTTGCTTCATTCTTTCCCCTGGTTTATGTGTGGCAGCGTGTTTGGGAGTTGAGAACGTACTAGTATCCGCTGTTTGCCCTGTCCTGTGTGTGCCTGTTTGCCCATGTCCTGTGTGTGCCTGTTTGCCCATGTCCTGTGTGTGCCTGTTTGCCCATGTCCTGTGTGTGTCTGTTTGCCCATGTCCTGTGTGTGTGTGTGTAGGTTGCAATCAATGCTGGTATTTTGTCTGTTGCTCCCGCATTACTCGTCGTGGGGGTTGACCGCCTTATAATCAAGGTAGGTTGGCGTGGTTACCAGTCACATGTCCATCTGTCCCACCACGGTGACATGATTTGAAAATACATTGCAAATTTGCCACCAGAGTCAATGAGGGTGGTGGTGTCTCTATGGATGCGGAAAACTCGTCCTCCAGCCGAGTCTAACGCGAGCCGTGATATTTTTTGCCAGCATGCCCGCTAGTGTTCTTGTCGGTGTCGGTTTGCGAATGGCGAATCTTGCAGTCCACGCAGCCTGGGTCCTGTGTGTTCTCACGGCGCCAACCATTTTTCTACACCTTGCCATGGTCGTCAGGTAACATGGTGTGACGAGTCCGTAAGCGGCACCATTTCAAAGTCCGCCCAGAGTCAGGGGGATGTAAGATTTACTGAGTATGTGTGTGTCACTGTGTGTGGGGGGGGGGGGGACACAACAATAGTAGCCAATCGAGGTACTTTTCCAAGATTCCTTATCTTTCTCCCCACTTGTGAGAAGACAACACACATGACCAGTTTGAGGCAGGGAACAAGTAAAGCCAATTAACCCTTTATAGGGGTCATAGTACGGATTGATCCGTATGTCACACATGCAGTGCTTTGATCACCAATTTTCGCCAATTCTTTGACTTTTTTATTGGATATTTGGCAATTCGATTCTCAAGACAATTTTCTACTCGAAACCTGAGTTTTCTAGGTAGGTTGAAACTAAAAGTTTTGAACTACAGGCACGAAGAAAAAGTTGACGTTCAACTGTCTGAGTATGCACCAGCTAAAAGGGCAGTAAAATGTTGCTTTCGATTTGGGTCATTCTGTCACTCTTTGTAGGAAACCACGATCAACACTGTCACACCAGATAATATTACCAGAGACTATTGGCAATCTGTTTGGTCTGCTCTGACCTTGGTTTGGGTTTCCGTCCGTTTTGCAAGCATTTCCTACATTTAAAGCAAGGGCCGGCAACCTCACAGTGTCAGATTGAGCTCTGGTTTTCTCTATTGGATTCCTTTTTCTGTCCCTGTTCGGAAAAATATAGGTGTTATGTTAGTAATTGTGAACGGTCGTTCGGATATTTGATACTTTTTAATTAAATGCCGCCTCAAATTTGACGAACAATCCTCAAAACAATTCGACCCCTAAAGCTCACTTTGCTCTTTGTGTTCTCTGTGTTCTCTGTGTATGTGGTGTGTATCGTGTATGTGGTGTGTATCGTGTGTATCTGCTACTGCAGGAAACCATCTGGCTCTTATCAAACTGTATATCAAGTTCAATGGCTCTGGTCAAGGTAAGTACAATAGTCAATACCACGCAATTAGCAGGCCCGAAACACCTTTCTGCCCGTCGAATCAGGGTTTTAGACTTCGGCTGAAAAGCACATCTGATTTGAAAACACCCAAGTCTCGTATAGTTGTCTTTCAAGTGCAGTGTGCATTGGATGTACCCCGCTTGGCATTGTCTCTGAGAGTGTTTGCCTTCTGTTCTCGTGCTGTGTCTATGTGTAGGTCATAGCCGAGGCTGGTTTGATGACCACCATTATCAACCTGATGACAACGGTACGTGCTCACTATTCTCTGCGGCCAACAGATATCAGTTCAGTGACAGTTTGGGAGGACACGAAGTGTCGAGCAATCTTCTTCAACGTTTCTTTTTTCACTCTCTACTGCAGGGATGAATTTACTGTCATGTTTTTGCATAGCAGTTTTTGCTATGCAAAATCTCAATTGTGGCGTAAGCTACAAAAAGCATGGATAGCCTGTACATGTACATGTATGTGTCGGAGTTTTCTGCGTGTCACTGTGATTTTTGAGTAGCAGTAGATCGATTTTGCGTAGCAAACTGCGATGCGATACCAGATAAATTCATCTCTGTACTGCACTGCTGTCTAATCCGTAGAAAATTAAATAATGTATGCTGGTAGAGACAGACGGACGGACGGATGGACAGACAGACAGACAGACACAGAGAAACAACGGACATACTGACAGACACACAGACAGTGTGTGTGTGTGTGTGTGTGTCTGTGTGTCAGTACTGTTTTTCCTTGCATGGCAATAGTACTAGTAACTCTTCTCTTCTTCCTGTGCTCTCCCTCTCTTTCTTCTTACAGGCATCTTATGTTGTGCAGAAAGAGTGCTCATGGGCCATTAGGAACTTTGCAATGGTTGGCTCGCCCGACATGGTATGTTTGTGGCAGGAAATTCTTTAGACTGATTGTGACGTTTGCCAGAGCTACAAAGTAACATGTTTGAAGCTGGTGAAACTGATGTTTTTCTTCTTTTTTCTGCTTTCTCCACCAGTATTCTCTCACATAATCACACATTCCTTTCTTTGCCTGTCCTTTTCCCCAGGTGCCATACTTTGTTGATGCTGGCGGAATCCAAGCAATCAGGCATATGGTCACCTATGAGGACTCTCAGGTAGATTTCCGTCTCCTCTTTCTCATGCCCGCATGCACGTGCACACACACACACACGCATGCACATTGGACCTTGGACACCCATCGCTGGTGCGATGATAGCATGCGAGCTGAACAATATGGGCAGTGGCACTTCAAGTCACCCACCCGTCGAAATGTTCGTCCACCACACATGCACTGAAAACTCTTCGCTGGCTCTGGCGGAGGAGCACGAGGATGACGAGACTACTTATCCACTTTGTCCTGTGCCACATCATACCAGTCACTTTCTGGGATCCCCGCCACGGCCAGGTCAGATCTAGCGACATCACACCATCTCTTCCTAGGGCCATGACTATGGCGCCGCGACACACACGCACGCACACACACACCATGTATACGCCCGTCGCAAGACAAGCATGCAAATCTCCAAATGCACTGGATGTGCACCTACAGATTGTTCTCTTATAACGTTAGCAACGATAGTGGACAACATCTGAATGAGACAGATCAAGACTAGTGCCACTAAACTGCCCAATCCATACAGCCGGCGAAGCCATGTGAATCGACCACCGATGCACACCTGGTCTACACCACACGGAGTACATCGGCTTAGAACGACCAAGACAGTTACCTACGCACACCCTACACTTGCTGGGGTAACCAGTGATAGGCAGTATAGACAGCACGCTGCTTTAATAGAAGCAGACACTAGATTCACTGACACCTTGAAGTGAAATTGGAGTGAGAAAATAAGTACAGTCGACTCCACTTATACCAAATTCGTGTATAGCGAACCATTGTCCATGTCCGTGTTTGAACCCAAACAACATTCACCCTTTGTAACGAACTACATGTATTTCTTGTAAGGCCACATGAAAACTAAGTGCACATATACAGTTCTGGGTCACATGCACGTCTTATACAGTTCTGGGCCACATGCCAGTCGCGATGTGTTGTTTGTATGGGGTAAGTGCATTTCTGTTATAAAGAACTTCTGTTATAAAGAACTAGTAATCCTCCTGCACAATGGTGTTTCTTATATCAGGAGTTGACTGTACTTCCTCGTGGAAACATTCTAAACGGTGTGTTTGTGTGTGTGTGTGTGCGTGTGTGTGCGTGCGTGTGTGCGTGTGTGTGTGTGTACATGCATGTGTGCTTCAGATTGTACTGAACGGTTTAGAAGCGCTCACGTCGGTGCTACGTGGCGGCGGTGAGCATCTTGATAAGATCTCGATGATGGTCGAGGAAGCTCACAGTAAGTTCTTTATTGGTGGTCATCTCTCATGACCGATTACCACCGATGTCGCTGCATCTTTTACGTCTCATGACCGGTTACTGTGTTTACAGCCGGCTAACAACTCACTTGTATGCTCTTTGATCTTCAACTGCTGCTAGTTCCTGAAAGCAGCTACAGTTGCCAGCACTGTAGCTCTTTGTTTCCACTGTTGGGGACATTACAGGCCCTTATCCTTACAAGCCGGATCACGTTCACACCTTCCTAACGTTGGCCTGGCTGCAAACGTGCATGCAAGCTTTGAATTCACTGAACCCAGTTTGCGGCTGATTTCAGCAGGTTGGCAGTCAGTTCCCAAGCACATTTAGGTTTCCCTGAACAGATCAGTGTGTGTGTGTGTGTGTGTGTGTGTGTGTGTGTGTGTGTGTGTGTGTGTGTGTGTGTGTGTGTGAGAGAGAGAGAGAGAGAGAGAGAGAGAGAGAGAGAGAGAGAGAGAGAGAGAGAGAGAGAAAGAGGGAGAGGGAGAGGGAGAGAGAAAGAGAGGGAGGGAGGGAGAGAGAGAGAGAGAGAGAGAGAGAGAGAGAGAGAGAGAGAGAGAGAGAGAGCTTGCCGAAGCATGAAAGAACAACCATTGCCGGTAGGTGGTCACCTGCAGCAGATCTCTTTCAAAAAGGCAGATTTGAAGTGTCTAGAAGTACGCCAGGTTCTTGACTGATAAACTGTACTTATTTGCTGTGTTGTGTGCAGTTCTTGACCAGCTCGAGTTGCTCCAGTGTTCAAACAATAATGCTGTAGCAGATGAAGCGTTCTCCATCACCGATGAGTTTTTTGCTTCAGAAGAGGTACAGTTAGTTACATAGCCTGCACCTGTACCTAGTGCCCTGTACCAGTACCTGGTGCACTGTACTTGTGCCTACTACCGGGTACTAGTGCTCTGTACATGTACTGTGTGCAAGTAGAAATAGTCATACACACTGTACATGCACTGCACACAAACAGGAAAAGGCCCTCTCACGTTGAAATCGATGCCATGTAGAAGACGTGTTGATGTGCTGGCCAGTAAGCTTCGACCTCATGCCTAGAGCAGCGCTGTACTCCTGTGTGCGGAGCGGTGTTGGCAGTGCTAGGGCTGTGTAGCACGGTGTAACACTATGTAGCAATGTGTAGCGATGTGTCGGAATACGAGGCAATGTGTAGTAGCACGGTGCAACACTGTGTGTAGCACTGCTTAGCACCGTGTACTCGCATGTAGCACCCTCTGCTGTTTTACTAGTATTCATGGGGGAAAACTTCACTGGCCAAGTACTTGACCAACCAATGCTTGAAGAGTCCTGTTTTACCCATGTGAAGCTTCTTCCGTTTTTTCAATTTAAATTCACAATTGAATTTACACAACGCCGAGATGTTTAGCGGTAATTCCTGCGTGTGAAGTTCGCTAGGCACTAAATGCACTCCTAGATGCATGCTCATTTTTCGGGCGTGTTCCGTTTTCACAAAGCAATGCCCATTGTGCCCAACTGGTTGATCTGTGTGGATCGGGGAGGGTTTTCGTTTTTGACGTACCGTATATTCTCTATCATAAACGCCGTGCTTATATTTTTTCAACACCCCTCTACCCCGTGCTTATATTGGAGACTGCTTATATTTTTTCAACCAATAGAATCCTTACAGAACAAGAAGAGATACATGCTAGATATCATGCATGCAGCATTGATTTCCACCAAGACCGTGCTAATAATAGAGACTGTGCTTATAATGTTTCGAAAGGTGCTCACAGTGTGCTAGTATTAGAGACTGTGCTAGTAATGGAGACCTGTGCTTATAATAGAGAATATACGGTATGTAATTTCGGAAGGCGCCGAGTTGGATTGGTCGTACTCCGCTAAACAGAATGATCTCTGCTGTGTGCTCTGTAGGTACCCAGTCTGAAGAGTCTGAATCCAGTGGAGACGGACAATCAATTTAGATTTGCCGCTCCGGCACAGATGCCTGCACTTGAACACCTGTAAGCTCTCGCCTGCTGCTGACGCCATTGGTGCCGTCAGTTCGGCTCACGGCCAGCCACTTGGGCCGCATAGCGAATGAGTCTGGTTTCTCAGTCTATGTGACGTGTGTGTGTGTGTGTTGCTGTCTTGCTGACTCATCTCGCTATCTATGTACGTAGTACACTTCGGAATTAGCTGTTCCTAGGCGCATGGCTGGTGTCACTACTTCGCAATGTACACTAACCCGTCCGGTGCAGAATATGCTCGTTCCGGGACACGATCGTTAGTCGCTACATGTACACCTTGCCGTTGCCATGCGAAGTGTAGCTGCACGATGGCCCGCGCTTGGCCACTGATGCACCTACATGCGAGTGACCTGCCTTCCCATCTTTCTCTCTCGCTTCTGCTGACAAAAGACGTTACACGAGTGTCGTAGTAACCCGTCTGACTGCCCTCTCCGCTGCAAGTTGCTGGACACTACTGTTCTCATCCTACTCATGAAAGTCATGCATTGCCGGTGCGAAATTAAAGCCTCGCCGCCTTTCTTTGCTATTTGACCAATCTCCTCATATCTCTCTCTAACCACGAAACCATTTCCAACAGATAGCAACTTCCCCAGACCGCATCTGATAGCTATTTAACACGCAACTCTTGATGTACCTGTCCTTGTCACTAAGTAGACTTTCTGTTCCTGCTTTATGCCAATCAGTTATTTGTTCCAAGTTCATTTTTTTTTAGAGGGTATAGTTTCTACAACTTAGCGAGTTGCTCAGGCAACTAATTTTTATCCAGTAGCAATTATTTGTGGGTTTCTCCCACCTTTCCCTAACATTGTACTGATTCTTATACTACCTTTCGTTCAATCCCTTTGACATTGTGTTCATTTTTTTGTTCACCATTCCATCTGCTCCGTGGAACAATGATATACTGGCCAGTCCCATGCTACCGGCAGGGAAAATATCATGAAAATATGCGCAAGGGAAAACTACTCTGAATGGTGGTGGTGGTAGCAGTATTGATCCATACATGTATTGTTTCATCATACATTGGGTTTTTAACAACACCCCTAGCACTGCCTCGATGATGGAGGAAAACAGAAAGAAAACAAGGATCAAAATATCTTCATGGAAAACTCAAATTTGAAAACAAGAGAAAGAGGCTATTTCACAATGGACAAACCCCGGATGGTATTTCCTCAGGAATGCCACCAAATCTCTATGGATCTACACAAACTGACAAAGTTTCCAACAAGCAGAACAACAGCCTGAAAGAGAGTAAGAGATTGACAAGGCTCTATGAACGCCTCGGCAGAACCCTGCTGGACGATCGCCTGCGGCGGCGATGACTGCAACAAGTGTAGACGAAAGAACAGAGACAATTAACAAGAAAGCAGCCAGCATGTTGATAGACTTAGACTCCACGGTGGACCAAACCTGCATGGCCACTGTCTGGCGCTGGCGCGCTGAACGTTTCCGCGATCTGACCCAGACCCATGTCGGCAAGCGGCAGTGGGAACACGATGGTCGAGGACTTCTCGGCGGAGATGAGATTGAGGGTTTGCAGGTAACGCAGCTGCAGAGCGCCAGGCTCCTCGGCCATCACGTTGGCAGCTTCGGCGTACGCCACGGCGGCGTTCTGCTCTCCTTCGGCCGCAATCACCTTGGCACGCGCCTCGCGGGCAGCCTCTGCTTCGGCGGCCATGGCACGCTGCAGCTGCGGTGGCAGGCGCACGTCTTTCCTGTAGAGCAATGGAGTGGCGGAACAAAGTAATACAGGATTATCTAACTAAAGTAGAACTCGCCTTATCCGGGCACGTCAGGACCCGGCACTTGGAGCTGCCTGCAACTCGGAACACACAATGTGTTAGACTGATTGCATGCAACAACGCACTTTTCGGTGCCAATCAATAATTATTACGATGTCGGTTTTTGTTGAAAAGCCAATTTCCGTGACTCTAGAGGGGTCAGAAAGGTGCCCGTTAGACGGGCGTGCCCACATATGGGAAATCCGGATTAGGGAAGTTACTGTACTGGTACCGGATACGAGTTGTCCCAAGCACAGCATTGCATCTACTTCTGCTTGCAGGCTGATGTCGCCGATGTTGTTGTTCTGCCAAAGGCAATAGCTATGCAGCTAGCTTGTAATCACACAATCACACCCCAATATTATGGAATCCCACTCTCAGCAGCACAATCTTGATGGCATATGCAGTATCACTCGTCCATGCATGCATGCATGCATGCATATTGCATACACACGTGCGCACACACACGCACGCACACACACACACACACACACACACACACACACACACAGTACTTACACTTCAACACGCTCCACCTTCACACCCCAGGCATCCGTTGCTTGATCCAGAGAAGTCTGAATAAAGTTGAAAACCACATGGCATCATAATATTATCATGCTAAGCTGATAACAGTGATAAGTGCAAAATAGATACACGATTTCGGATGTGGCATCCAGTAGAGTCAGCCTCCCCCCCCCCCCCTCCCCTCCACTGTTAGAGTGGTTTCACTGCCGACTTCTAATCTGCACAGCCTTCTCTGGTACAGCTACCCTGAGTCCAAGCATATGTTGTGCATGTGAAGTTTGCTAGAGTCCATACTAGCGTGAAAGACGATAGACACCAAGCCATATCGTGCGCCATCAGTGGAGGGATAGAGATAGGCACATACAGTTAGCAGCGGGTGTTAACGTTACCTGCATCATCTCGCTGATCCCGTCACGGTCAGTGAGCATGTCAGCCAAGCTCTTGATGCCCAGCACATTCCTGAGGGTTGTCTGCGAGAGCAGCTTGGTGCTGTGATGCACATTGGCAACGTTGGTGACGGACACGACGGGATCGCTGATGCGGTAGTACACCACAGCATCAACCTGCACCGTCACACTGTCCTTGGATAGAACCTAAACCGGGGTTTGAATGTACAGAGAGTGAGCACCCGAGCATCAGCTACACACAACCACACGTCTCACAAACATTCCTACTCTCAATCTTGGCATAAAGATGCAATTTCTTCATTGAACAGTTCTTCGATAACACTGGGAGTGCGGGCAACACTCAAAACCGTTACTTCCGTTCCAAGTCACTAAATGAGCCAGAACACTGGTAGGCAAATCTGAAGCATTTCATCACTGGTTGAGATTCCTATATTAAATGCATGTCCGAGGCCTTCATGTGAATCCACTGTGCACAGATCAGTTTGATCACCAGCTCCTAGCTCCAAGCAGAGGCAGCTTGCTTCCCAAGTATTTAGTTGCCTCATTACTGTGGCACGCTCACTGCCGGCAAAACATCTACACAACTATCATGGTGTGAAACAGTGGCATGGGCCAGGGGAGTCGCACATTGCGAGTCTCATAACTCGATGCGTACTGACCTCTTGCGGTGGAACGTCAAACGACTGTGTTCTCAGATCAATCTTGACGTAGTTGTCCAGGCATGGCAGAATGAAGAACATACCTGCAGCAGGAAATACCGGTACACGCGCAGACACCCACAAATAGTCCTAGTCAGGAACCTAGACGTAAGCATAACACAGATTGTAGCGAGCAAGCTGAATATGCGTCTGATCACAAAAAATAAAAAAATAAAAATGCTATGAAGGTATTTTTGGAACAGCGAGCAAGAATACAATGATATGAACAAGAGTGCGCAGCTTGGTATCTGTGTGGCATACTTCCACTGTGACGGATATTTTTGTTTTGTTTAGGTCATCATTAATCATGGAATAACCTGGCGTGTATGTTCAAGGCCTAACCACCGTATCAACAAAGTACGGGGAAATTCACGTGCACCTTTCACCGAGCAGCATTGCGCAATAGAAACAATGCTACTTATCGCCAAGTTGACTAAACATAACGTTAACACGATACAGCGGCATGCCCACAACCACAGCACCGCGACAACTTTACCATAGAAATTCAACCAATTCAGTCAGAGCCCCGCTGCTTGTCAGAAGACATGATTCAGTAGACGAATCAATACTATGAACATATACGCCGTTACACGGAAAGTATGAAGTGACGTGTTCTGTCAGTGCACGCAGTGGAATAAGTAGCGCCGCCAGAGTAGTAAAAACGACACATTGGTATCAACCGGCCAATATTCAAACCTAGCTGATTTCCTTCAACTTACCAGGGCCTTTGGGGTTACCCTCAATCAGACGTCCCAGACGGAAGATAACTGCACGCTCAAACTCATTTACCACCTGCATGATCAGACACCAAAACAAACCCGCAGAGCACACAATATGGGGCACGCTTGAAAAATAAATTTAAAAACCCTCCGAACTTGAGCCGCAAACTCCGCTGACAGAATGAACAGTTACGAGTTCACTTGTTCCTCCCCAGACTTATGTCAGTGGCTCAGTTGAGTACGCCTACTACGGTATTCCCCCGATTATAAGTCACACTCGATTATAATTTATAACTTATAAGTTTCACCCCCCCCCCCCCCCCATTTTCAGGTCTCCGCCCTATCGTAATATAATGTCACTTGAATAGTAAGTCAGGCTTGATTGTAAATTTTAAGTCAGTGCACCATTTTTCAGTGTTGAAGTTTAGTCAGTGAAGAGGTGTGACTACTATTTGGAGGAATCCAGTACTTCGTTAATACGACTAACTTACCGTGAACTGCACAAATTGCAGTAAACACGCTTTGGATGTTCTAATGCACATAGCAGCGAGGTTCAAGTTTCTATTGCCAAATGACTAATCTATAACAGTGCAACACTGAAACGCTTCACTCCTCAAACACACTTGAGGCCAGATGCAACTGGGCACTCTAGTCTGGGGGGAACACCGGTACATGTAGACACTGCTACACACATGCAGTTTAGTGCAACTACTTGATGATCAGGACACAGGCTCCAGCAAAACTTAGAAAATGATAGCGCCTTTCACAGCATGAACATCTGCTATCGATTAGACTGACTACAATGGTGAGTGGTGAGTGGTGAGTGGTATCACCATAAACAAGTAGTCATGAGCGTTACATCGTGAAAAATACTTTTAGTGCCGTGGCCAGGACAGGTACATACGTTGCCAAATGATCAGACGATTCTTCTAGAGCTAGTAAGTACTAGTACTAGTAGTAGGGGGGCCGGGGGGGGGGGGGGGTATAGGACCAGGGCCAGGGGTATAGGATCAAGGCCAGGGTATATGACCAGGAGGGGACAGGGTATAGGAGCAGGGCCAGTGCCGGGATACAGGGCATAGGAGCAGGTACAGGGGCGGGGGATGGGGCCAGGGCCAGGGTATCGTTGAAATGACCGCTGCCTACTTCTTGTTGTAGTGTACCTGCGGCTCAGATCAGCAGGATGTGTATAAACCAGACAAGACTTAGTGTGTATGTGTATGGTGTGTGTGTGTGTGGGGGGGGGGGGGGAGATCTGCAACCACTCCTGCATGCATGAGAACTGCGACTTGGAGACCGTCCGAAAACCAAGAAATGACACCACTGATGGTATGCAAGCGACACAAGAGTGAAGAGTAGCACAATTTACTGCCAAGCTAAAGAATACATGGCGGTGCGGGGCAATTTTTTGGCAAAGCCCCAGCAGACTGAGCAGCAGCCCCACACCACTCCACACTACATGTACATCATTGTACACGCAAGTAATTAGTTTGCTCACCTTGAAGCAGAAAGCGAGCGAGAAGGGGAAAGTGATGATGATCAAGAAGGCTGAGACTATTTTCAAGACAATCGAGCAACACGCGGAGCAGCACCCCTCTTCATCTTGGTCCAAGGCGTCTGCACGCGGGACACATAAGTGCACATAAGCACAGCAATAGGAGACAGGAGAATCAATAAAGCATTATTCTGAACTCACTATCAACGGCCGATTCAGCATGAAAATACACACGCAATGCCATACCGTCGTGTAGACGAGTTTTCACCCCTGCCTTCGACATGGCTTCCAAAGCGTCCGTGGGAGACCTTCGCTATATAAGCCACGGTAAAGTCAGCAATGCCGAAACGTCCAGGAGAAGCCAAGGAAGAAATTCTGGAACGAACAAGCCGTCCTCTTTGCCAACTCGCAAGGACTCGCACGCTAGTGACTAGCTTGCTCTTCCCAACCCAGACCAAGTCACAGTCACTGACTCAGCTCGAAGTCACTCACACTCACAGAGCAGATACTGCCATTACTGGAGTGTTGGCGTGACTGCTTGCGTAGTTCGAGTTGAGCTGGGCGCAACTGGCAGGGACTTGAGTGCGAGGTGTTTTCAGCTCGCATTGATCTACCGATGATCTGAACGCACGTGCAAAACTCACACAGTGTATGACTGCATTCCACACGGAGACACGTCGATGTGAATGACCGAGGAGTGGGAAATGTGCCAGACTTGACACGATCGGATCGGAGTGCTTTGGTAGAACTAACCCATGGCCCACCGTCTGTTCCAGTGATGCAATGTCCTGGTAGACAGTGCAGTGCTGCGCTGACAAACAAGCAACGACGTCGACTGCGCAAACCAACACGCCAGTTCTACCACGTAGAATACGTAGGTCCGCGATCGCGAGCATTCAGGAGACGTAGCCGTGGGTAACTCAGCACCACCCCTTGCCTGAAAAAATACAGTACTCAGTTGGCCAAGCCAGATGTGCTGCACACTCCGTAGACGTAGTTCTCACCTGGTGCAGTCTCTCACGTCTTTACCGGAGCACAGCTAGAGATAATTGCGACCAAAGTGAGGAAGGAGGCAAAAGGAAGAAACTCTGGCTTCATCACAGCACCAGTCTCTCTTCGAAAAAGAGGCCATGGCGAGCGTCGGCCCAGGAGCTGTGGAGGTAGCGAGTGGCGAGGAGGTCCAGCGAAGGCCGGCTGGAGCGCCCAAGTCGGGCTATCATGCCGACATGCATCAAGATTCTGGCGCTGGATCTGTGGCCTGCACGCTGGTCCTAACCTTCATTTCCTACATTTTGGTGGCTCTGTTCTTCCCGCTTTCGCTCGCCTTCACAATCAAGGTAAGTGACAGGGGTTTCCCTTCGCTCAGCCGGTAAAGGATCGGGTTTTTTTTTCCCCAGGTCAATAGTTGAACCCCATTCAAGCCGTGATGGGCTCTAACGATACATGAAATCGACAACTCGCAAAAAGGAACGTAGCCGCTCCCCAGATATACCTTTTCAAAGGCAGTTTAGAGTCCTTGTCCTTGATAGTGCAAGTGACTCCTGCGATAATCATGACACCACTTTCTTCGACGCTAGCGCAGCGGTTGCTAGAAGTAGTTGTCCAGTCACCTGTACCAGTGTACTGTAGACTGTGTAAAAAAGTAAAGTACATGATTGTACTTTGTAGTAATACTAATAGTTGCCGGATTCGCGTCCGCATCACCTGACGTGTAAGGAACACATCAAGCAGTGTACAATCGTGTAAGTAAGACGAAGACTAAGTAAGAGAGTTTTCTGGGTCATGTTCACACTTAGCAAGTTAGTTGCAGGAACAGATCAGAAGTTTTCCGCAAATGGACGATTTGAAAATAGTTCAAAATACCCGCTGTGGTACTGAAATACGTGTATTGACTATTGTGCAAGGGGTCACGGTTGTGCAGTCATCTTTCACCAGTCCAAGCGTAAAAGTGAGGCTGCGGAAATGGAACGGCACAAATCTATCATGTACGCCTGCTGTCAGGAGTGGGTGTGTGGAAATGCTACTAACATGTACGCGAGTGCAGTTACGTCACGGTATACAATACAATGGTATAAGTGACTGCAAAAAATGTAGAGCATGAATCTGTACTAGAATCTGCAATGGCTGCAACAATGTGTACTTTATAGGCGATGCACTGTATTACAGACAACTTTGCGTATAACAACACTCGGCGGGGTATCAGAAAAGTGTCCTTATACCCGAAGTCTCATCATCATATGTATTAAAGTTACAGTTAGATGGGACTTTGCTCTGGGCATGGAAATTCTGTCGTCATTCGCGAATTGTCGTTATATCCGCAGTCGTTATTAGCGAAGTTGACTGTATGTGCATCTGAGGTGAAACGAAGGGTGTACTATACCAGTCTTCAAAAGTACTCTCTCGCAGTAACCCCGGCTGATCTTCTGGCAGTACCGTATTTGCGGGAGTATAACGCACACCTGAGCATAATGCGCACCTCCCTTTTTGACCAACGTTTTGGCTATTCAAGGTATATCCGGAGTATAATGCGCAGCTTAGATTTGAGAAAGTAATGGATTATGCAGGCAGCATTATCGTGCGACCATTGACAATAATATAAACAATAAAGTTATTTGCTACCTATGGCCGGAGAGCTATCTGGCGCATACCGGGCCAGGCAGAAGGGGCCGACCACTCACCGCCCTCGCTACAACAATCAAACAGGACCTGGCAGGGAAGGATATTGCCATGGAAAATACGAAAGATTTGCAGAACTTGAGGGAGATGGCTGGCCGACCACTTGCCACCCTCGCTACAACAATCAAACAGGACCTGGCAGGGAAGGATGTTGCCATGGAAAATACGAAAGATTTGCAGAACTTGAGGGAGGTGGCTGGCGACAAGCGTGCCTGGAGCCAGTTGGGGAAGTGAACGATAGGGCATTAGTTTGTAGAACTCCACTCCATGATCACCAGCTGTGTTCAATATTCAACAATAGAATTTCATTCCTATCAAACCAGCCGTGTTTTAATATTTTAATATTTTACCGCTAGCTCATTACTAGCCATTGGCGGACTATGCTCGGCCAATCGTCAAATTATGCTTTTGATTATGCCACAATTATGCCAACAAATATGCTGAATTATGCTGAATTATGCTGAATTATGCTCAGTTCCACTATGTATTCACGCTGTACATAGAGGATTGAGAAACCACACATACACACACGGCCATGCCCTAAGCATAAGTTTTGTCTAAACCGAAAGATTATGCCGACCTTACACGTTGGAATCCGTATATTATGCCGGAGCATAATTTTTTGACCAAATCCCAAGATTATGCCAAATATTATGCCGGCATAATCCGCCAAGGGCTACTCATTACGATAAGCTTCTCGGCAATCAGAAATGCAGAAGCGGAACGAGGTATTACTTTTGCTACACAAAATATTTTACCTCTATTACGCAAACCTGTACAATAATAATAATAACATTTTGTCGCACTTGCTGACTGTATAAGATCTGGTTACGTTCGTGGACAGTTTGTCATAACTCGTAACATTTTGTCCTTTTCCTTTCTTCATCATAACTATATTGGCTCACCATCCGAGTTCAAATAAATTAATAATAATAATAATAATATGGCCGGGTCTCGTACCCATCTTGCATTTGCAGTGTACTTCGCTGGCAGGAGACATCACAAATGCATGGATATGGCTTGTGCAGCATCAGAGACTCAGAATTTGCAAATAATTCAGTCGCAACAGTTTGATTCATTGCACTACTTTTCGAAGTGCATGCATTCTCATATTCAGAGCATACTGTGCACCGGCGATTTGTGGCCTAACATAGTGCATCTAAAGTGCACACTATACTCCGGCAAATACGGTATATCAATTAATTAAATCCAGAGTGCGCTATACATGTACACGTACTTACAGTATCCAGCGAACTCATTGACGCGATCATCGCACGAGCACCAGTAGCGCAGTGCACCATGATGTAGAGCAATGCATCATGGCGATGAGTTTGCTAACTTACAGCATGTGTGTACTGTACAGACTGGGTCATGCGAATGATTCCGCTAGTGCAGGTGCAGCGCTGTGCCACTAGTCTACGACTTCACCAAAGCATCTCAAATGATGGTCACGGTAATTGCCGCAGAACCTCTACACGTTGGCCAGGAAGAAAATTCCACCAGGTCCAATGTAGGCTAGGGAAGCCCAGCTTTGATCACATGATTGATTATTCCTGCCTGGTTCGCTGATTCTATTTCTTGCAGATCGTGACGGAATATCAGAGAGTCGTCATTCTGCGTCTTGGAAGAGTTATTGGTGGTCGTGCCAAAGGACCAGGTTGGTACCCCCCCCCCTCCCCCCCCCCCCCTCCCTCCACTGTTTCCATTTTTTGTATAGGTGTAGTACTTTGATAAGGTCCAATTAACTTGCTGATAAGATTGATGAAAATCTGATGCTAGTTAAGTTTAGTAGTTGTTAAATGATTTTACACCATTATCCTGTACATGGCTTGGACTTTTAGTTGTGAACATGCTGGCACTTGCCTTATCGCAGTGCCTCCGTAGCAAGTATGACAGCGCACTGCACTGTACCGAGTAGAACACGAGCAGAGCGTTATTATGATTGTATGTATGTACTGTATGTATGTATGTGTGTATGGTGTGCCTCCATTCCCATTGTCCTTGTCCCCGCGCAGGTTTGTTCTTCATCTTGCCTTGCCTTGATGAGCTGAAGCAAGTGGATCTGCGTACCGTGGTGTACGATGTACCTCCGCAAGAGGTCAGTCACTCACCGTGCAGCTAGTTTTGCTGAACGGAAATACTAGTACATGGCTGCCTGTTCTGTAATCGTCCTGAAATTCCGGCATGGCTAAAACAACTATGCCTTCCGGCTGTGAAGTGTCCCCCAGTCTTGGCACCAATAATTAGCACAGTAAAGGGAGTTTGTAGCTAGTCCCTTTCTGATGCACACAGTATAACGTTTTCTATTCATACACTGCAGTTGCATAGAGACCAGCTTATGTCACCTTGTTTAAATTTTAACAGTGCAAAAATCACTCCATCAATTTGGCTCGGCTAAAGGTTGTGGATTTGTAACTCCCGGCTTGCAATATGTAAAACTTCGAGAGTGTGTAGCGGCCCATGCAGGCCAGATGTCACCATGGTTGCATGCATCAATTGAGCAAATGGTCTGCTACCTGTATTCCAATAAGGATAGGTGAAGCCCTCCGAATCATGCTTCGTTTTTGGCAGGAATGGGTGGTTTCACCCTCCGATGCCGGAGAAGGTAGCGATGCCTGTGCCCGTAACGAAGTAAACTAAAAGAATACAACAATCCTGACAATGAGAGGTTTCTCACCTGTGCTCCTCCCGCTTGCAGATCTTGACGAAGGACAGCGTAACGGTCACGGTGGACGCCGTACTTTACTTTCGCATCTTCCAGCCCATCCTGTCAGTCACCAATGTGACGGATGCTGGCCACAGCACGTGGCTACTAGCACAGACGACGCTGCGTAACGTGCTAGGCACGAAGAGCCTGCAGGAGCTGCTTTCCCAGCGCGAGCAGATTAGCCAAGAGATGCAGGTCAGTGCTAATCTTGCAACTCAGGCGCCGTGAAATTCTGTGATCCTGGGCTTTGTACTGCTATCTCTTCCATATTTCGGTGCTAGAGAATGCTCTGAAGCCTCTGATCCTTATGTTGGCAGAGAACAATGCCATTATTTATTATTATTATGTCGTAGGCTGAGTGGTCTAGGGCATGCCCGGGAACCAGGTTTAAATACTGTATACCGCCCAATGTTTGCGTCACTTAATTGTTGCAATCTCTCAGAACCAGCGAGTTTTACGATGGTTGAAATGTTCGTGGAGCACCGTGGCCACACATATACTCTAATTTCAGAGATTTTCGGTGCTCAATATTTTCGGTATGAGAGCAAAAAGCTAGGTTAGGTGAACAGAAATTTTCGGCACAGAGAAGCAGTTCCCTATTGGGTTATGTGTGTTAGTGTTTGTTCGGTGTATTGAAATTTTAGGTATGAAACAGACGCACCGAAAGTACCGAAAATAAAAGTACGCCGAAAATTTGTGAAATTACAGTATACGTTATGCTCTTCTCGCAAAATTAGCAAACACTAGGCTGTTTACAATAGTCGTCAATATTGTCATGAAACTGTGCAGACCGGCTGTGAGGCGATACCCGGCCTGCAGAATCTCCATAGCCGGGAACCACTTCCAATGGACCCCAGGCTCGCCGCTCACTGCACTATCTGTTCTTGTGTGCCTGGTAGCTTGCCGTGTGGTTGCAAGCACAGCAGGAACTTCCTGCAGTCAGGCGCGGCGGAATTGGTCTGCTTGGTAGGGCCATGGCCAGACCAACTCTTTGCCGCTGAGGAGGTTATGTTTACATGCCATATCATACCCGAAGTATGACAGGCTACAAGATGGCCAGATCAATGAAAGACTGCTTCTGCCAGTTCGACTACATGTACATGTACACATGCATAGAGTGTATAACCAATGTGGCTGAAACGTACGCTGTACGGTCATAATCAGTTAGTGTGATTTGCACTATAGATAAGGACTAAACTGAGTATTTTGCTGTTGTCTCTGTAGAATATTCTTGATGAGGCCACCGATCCTTGGGGAGTGCGTGTGGAACGTGTTGAGGTGTAAGTTGCGAGTGTCGGGCGTTGTTTTTGGTCTGTTTCAGTGTAAACGTGTGGATGGTGTGGAGACCAGTGCTTAGCACCATTTCCTGTCATCATTGGACTAGGCTTCTGTGACTTGGATTTTTGGAGGTTTGGCATGCTTCATATTGTACCTGATTGGCTGAGTGAAAAAAATCATTTACTGTCATAGAAATGTGGTACATGTACATGTACTATTATATTCTTCAAGATGTGAAGTGGCTTCTGTGCATGTATTTTCTAATTGCAAACTGAATCAAAGAATAGCCGTGATGAGTTTTATGAACTTTTATCAAAAACGTACACGAACCATGATTGCTCTGTTTCCTCTCCCTCTGTGGACACAGGAAAGATGTTCGCCTGCCGAAGCAGCTGCAAAGGGCAATGGCGGCTGAAGCTGAAGCCGCCAGAGAAGCTCGGGCTAAGGTAGGCATTCGGATCTGGCATTGCGATTTGATTGGTGTGATCGCCAAGTCATGCCTCGCAGTACTTTCCCAAACTGGTGTATGGGACATATTTGCAATGTACACAGTGCGTGTGTATAGCTAGTAGTACGGTATTAGTAGGGGTCAAACGGGTGTACCGGGTACCCGGGTACCCGCCCGTTAATCTCAGGTACCGTTAGTAAAAGGGTACCCGTTTGTAAAAAAAAAAAAAAAAAAAAAAAAAAAAAAAAGGTGATCCTATCGTCTTCCAAGACTCAAAATAGGAGTGCGGATACTCTTTTCCTTTTTCCTGTGCATTCCCGCTTTCGACTTTATCAGGCAGGAGCAGGCTGAAAGACAGACTTGACAGTTGTTCTCTCCACTCTAGTGCAAGTAAAAATCCTCGTACTGGAGGTTTTTGATTGTGATGTGAGAAAATGCAAGACTTGAAACTCGTTCGAGGTGGCAGCTGAGTAACTAAAAAGTTACGATGGTTCTCCGACATCGAACCTGCCACAGTACTTGATGAACTAGTGTCACCAGGCTGAGTGACCAGTCGGAGTGTCACAAACGGTGATGTCCGTAGGTGGTAGCTACTTCCAGAAGTACATGTATGATACTCATGGTTGTAGTTTGTTCCTTCAATCGACGAGCTGAAAAGTAGTTCGAAATATTGCATACAAGATTACGGATTTGTGAAGATTCATTTCACGAGTTCAACAAGCTAGCACTAGCAGCTAGCTGGCCAGCAGCACATCAGCTGTGTCAGGCACCCCAGCTAGCTATGGGCGCGAACATCTACTGAATGCAACGAGTACCAGTTCTCTGCGAACATAGCAAATAGGATTGCGCGAGATCACGGAAGTTTTGCTAAACCACTCTGTCCTTGCATGGCTTGAATCACATCGATCTGCAGTTGATTTGCGTACATGTATCAAAATACATGTAGCTTGTAGGACCATCTACATGTACGATTGTAAGTTACTGCCTGTGAAGTTATGTACATGGGCAAATGCACGGATGACATTCATTTGGAACCTTCATTGCCATAATAATAATTATGATACACGAATCAATTGCGAATCATAATGTAGTATCAAAATACAATCTGAGAATATACAAATTAAAATCATTATTTTATGTGAGAAATGCGCAAAAAAATAATATGGCTGCTAAAGGGTACCCGTTAACCCGCCCGTTAAGAAAATTACCCGTTCGTTAGTTAAAGGTACACCCGTTTGACCCCTAGGTATTAGCTACATGCATTCACGTAGAACTCAAGGAGCAAGGCATTTTGAATTAATGTTACAACAATGTTACAACTAGTGCCACACGACAAACAGTGATGGATCAGCATTATGTGCCTAGAGCTCGTTTATGTGTGTGTACATATTGCATGTGCGCAGGTCATTGCTGCGGAGGGAGAGCAGAACGCCTCACGCGGCCTCAAGGAGGCAGCCAACATCATGAACCGTAGCAAGGGAGCCATGCAGCTGCGCTACCTGCAGACGCTGACGTCGGTCGCCGGTGAAAAGAACCACACCATCATGTTCCCACTGCCGCTGGACCTCGTCAACCGCGTCCTGGACAGCCTGGGTGGCGGCGGCGCGAGGCAGTAGCTGATAATCATAGTGCCTGGTCCATGCCATTGTGTTCTATAGTTGGGTTCATGCGTGAAGATATCGGTTTGTTGTTCTTCACAGTTCGAAAATTCGTAGAAGCTGTCTTTACTGTCCTGGAAGACGTTTTCAACTTTCCGAGCCGATCCTGGTGTGTCTACGTTTACACCTTTCCTCGTTTCTCTCTTCTTTGCCTGGGGTCTGGTTTTTGTTACTTGTACTTTCTGTTGAAACAGTGCATGTAGTAGTAGCATAGGTAGGTGGTGTAATCAATACCAAAGGTCTATACTTTGTGCGAATTCCTTGAGTTGACATTTTGGTTAAGAAGTCAACGCAACATACCGGTATATACACCGACTGGTGGGGTTGGCAGGCGCGTGCCATACACCGACTGGTGGGGTTGGCAGGCGCGTGCCCCGTATGGGTTCCTGGGTGCCCGGAACACCCCTTTTTCGCTCAAAATGCAGGATTTTGCTTCATTTTTGAAAAATTTCCCGGGGAGGCCCCCGGAACCCCCCTCCCTTGAAGGGCACCGGCGCACGCGCCTGGTTGGTGATTGCTAGCAGTAGGGGGTGGTGGTTGCGGGTAGGGATGACGCAAGTATTGGCTATAGCGTACCCGTTTGTTTTCAGCGTCTTTATCACTACCGATGTCCCATGCATCACTACAAGTACAAGGGATATCACATGCAGTTGCACATGGATAAGTCAGTCAAGTCGAGTCGGTGAGCTCTGCGTAATGCAAACAGCAAAGGCACTAACTACCCCACATGAGATTGAGAGTGCACAACTAAAATTTAATACAAGACTGGCAGGAGAGAAATTATGATCGTATGACCCATCCGGCATCGATGCAGGGATTGACTGGAGTTAGAGTTTCAGGCTGGACGTGCTTCGGCGCACGACTACTGCATGTGGAAAAGCTTTGCGCATTGAGCACTCTTCTAAGGCTGTTTGCCAAAACGTTCTATCTACAGGTTGAGGTAATAGTACTTGAACCAGTCTCCCTGTGCCATAACTGCCATCCTCTTGAGCACAACGCCACCAATGTGTGTTCATGCATGCAAACTGCCTTTCCATTGGTCCAATGTTGTCGCCACCGTCTTTGCTTTTAGAGCCATTTGACATGCCAGGAAGTCAGTCTACTAGCAGGATGAAGTGAGTGAATGTTCTACTATTCAAACCGTAGGTATCCTTGTAGTGAAGCTAGGGAATGGTTTGTGTCCACCTATACATAACAGTTACAGGATATACATCATCTGTGTTGCACATCTGCCACTTTACAGGACATCCACGCACATGTTGATTCCAACTCCAGTCAATCCCTGTATCGTTAGGTCATAGTTATGATCATGATTTCTCTGCTGCTCTAGTTGTGCACTCAATCTCATGAGGGTAGTGCCCTTGCTGTTCACGATACGGAGAGCTCACTGACTCAACTTGCATGCTGTCCAACCGTACTGCTTTCAGCAGGATAGTCCTGCTTCGGACCAAAACATTTGTGTATATTTACATGGGAGACAATTGCCTTTGTATACATGTTATATAGGTGTCCTGCTTTGGAATGGTGGCAAGGTTGGACAGCCTGGACTTGACGGGACTTAGACATGTACATGTGCATTGGATATCGCTTGTAGTGATGCATCGATTGACTGGAGTTGGAATCAACATGTGCGTGGATGTCCTGTAAAGTGGCAGATGTGCAACACAGATGATGTATATCCTGTAACTGTTATGTATAGGTGGACACAGACCATTCCCTAGCTTCACTACAAGGATACCTACGGTTTGAATAGTAGAACATTCACTCACTTCATCCTGCTTGTAGACTGACTTCCTGGCATGTCAAATGGCTCTAAAAGCAAAGACGGTGGCGACAACATTGGACCAATGGAAAGCCAGTTTACATGCATGAACACACACTTGTGGCGTTGTGCTCCAGACTATGGCAGTTCTGGCACTGGGCGAATGGTTCAAGCACTATTGCCTCAACCTGTAGACAGAACTTAGAAGTTGCGACTCTTGTTCACACTCAAATTTCAGCCGTGTTGTACGCTTGCGTCCCCGTCTACGCCCATCTACGGTATGAAAAGTTGAATCGATCCAACTCTTCCCGTCGCTTCCCGATCTGTACGGTACAGGTGGAATCCTGACAATTCGAACGTCAAAATTCCAGGAAAAAATTCTAATTATCCAGACGTGCAATTTGAAACTCGGTTATTGAGCCAATAATAAAAGTAGAAAGGAAAAGGACATATGGAAACGAGTTCAGAGTAACTCTCCACCACTGTAACTAGATACTATATACAGTCAGAAAGTGCAACAACTAGGCACACAACTGACAGAGTACTGAGACATTCGACGTCCTGACACCTAGCTTCAACACATTTTCGTAGCGCTAACCGACAGCCTTCCAACTTGGAAGGTTCAAGGTTATGGAAAGACCAAAGAGGGGAAGGCAATTGTAGTTAGACCGCTTTGTCAAATCGCCTACTGGTCTCGTCATCGTCCAGTGACAATCGACATTCTTTGCTCCGTTGGGACTGTAGCTTGTGCTCGTTTTCGTTGCGCTTGCCTTCCCCTCTTTGGTCTTTCCATAACCTTGAACCTTCCAAGTTGGAAGGCTGTCGGTTAGCGCTACGAAAATGTGTTGAAGCTAGGTGTCAGGACGTCGAATGTCTCAGTACTCTGTCAGTTGTGTGCCTAGTTGTTGCACTTTCTGACTGTATATACTTCGAAGTAGTATCTAGTTACAGTGGTGGAGAGTTACTCTGAACTCGTTTCCATATGTCCTTTTCCTTTCTACAATTATCCAGACATTCTAATTATCCAAACATGAACCGACAACACAATATCATGTATGTCAAAATGCTCTCATGGTCACGCAGAGTTACGCTATGGACCTTAGACACAGATTTCACGGATACTGAACTGGCCGGCACTGCCTGCTCATACAAACTGAACTGACCAGTACAGTGTACAGTGAACTTCGAATTACACTTTGCTAACTTCAAATTATCAGCACAAATCCCACTACACAGTTTCTATGTACACGTACCTGGTAAGTGAAATCTGTGGGACTTCTAATTAACCGGACCTATCCAGTTCGAGGTTCGAATTACAGTCGTCCCTCTCTAACCCGGCACTTGTTTATCCAGCACCCTTGCAAACCAGCACACTTTCTGGCAAAACGGATTTTTTCAGTTCATTTTCTACGCTTTAATCCGGCACTTGAATTCCGCCTCCGGCAGCGATTTTCTGCAACAAATCACTCAAACTGTACATAATTTGATTTTCTAATCCAGCAGTTGTACATCGCATACCGTACCGGTGCCAATATCCTATGCCAGTGCATAACAGGATATTCCCAAGTGTATGTTAATTGTTATAGACATGGCATGTTACAGACATGCATTCCACAAACTTGTGACAAAGTACTTGGATTGACACAGAAAATCCCTACATTTTGACGTACGACACAAACATGTACGTTACTAGGTGAGCCGGGTTGGAGGGCAGGATTTGATAATCCAGTACCCTTGTTTATCCGGCAGAAAAAGCCGTTGCAAAAGGTGCCGGATTAGAGAGGGACGACTGTACTAGTATGAGAAAAATTTATGTGGGGATCGTATTGATAGAAATCGGTCCTGGAAAAACTTCTAAGCCATATTCGAATTATCAGGATTCCACCTGTAGTATGGTTGCGTTCCCGTTCCTGGTGTTCACATTGGACGCTGTCAGACCGTCCCGTCGATCCTTACGTCGCGTTTTACTTATGACTTTCAAAATCAACTTGCAGTATGTTTCGGAGCTTTCAATTTTGCAATCTGTTTCTAAGCTCATTTTCCTTGCAGAATTGCCGCAGAATATGGAAGGATTTGCAGAATTTAAAGGGGAAGTTAAGGCAAAAATTAAAATTTCACCAGTTGTAGTCTTCGGGGTGTTGAGTCGAATGGTCTTGGTCCGAGAAAGCTGAGACGCTCCCTTCCTACTTGAATCCCAATCGAACTCGCGCACTTCCACCGAAACTGGGTGACTGCGCCCTACGAGATGGGGATTTGTATGCAAAATGTCACTAAAAGCGCCATTTCGTTCTTATAAAAGCACGGATGACCGCGATTGGCCCATATGTTGTAGTCTTTTGGACGCTGAGTCGACTGGTTTTGGTCCGAAAAGTAGGGGTGAAACGGTTACCCTTTAAGGTAACAAACGGGTATCTGGCTTAACGAGCGGGTTATCGGGTACCCTTTATCCGCCATACTTTTTACAAAAACATTGCATTTGCTTGTGATTGTAAGCGCAACATGTCTTTTGCAGGCATTCTGATAGGAGAGAGATTTTCGGGCAACAATTGCTACAGTAGCCTTCCGGATTTTACGCCAGGAGGATATGCGAAGTCATACAAGTACACTACACCACGACAAGCACAGTGTGCACAATCACTGCGCTACATGCTAACAGTCGAAATTGTCGTAGCTACAGTGGATACCGTGATATGTAGCAGGATTGAACGAGGAAAAATACACTCCAAACTGTGCACTGAACTGTACAACTGTACAAGCAAGCTTCTAATACTGTACCCTACAATCCTACACAACTATCGGGTACTCGTTTGCTAACGGATCAGCAGCTAAACAGACGGGTACCCGGGTTACCCGGATCACCCCTTTCACCCCTACCGAAAAGGCTGCGATGCAGCGTTCGCCCCTAATTCCCAATCGAACATGGTTGAACAAGCGGTCACGTGCTCCTGCGTACACCAGTCACCTGGTCACCGTGCCTGCAGGGTACAACTTACAGCCTGTTTTGACCTTTTTTGGGTGCAGTCCTGTCACTCGAGTTGAACCTTGGTGTGAAAGTTGTCGCCTGCTGGCGTGGTGACCAGGTGATTTTGGCACCCAGGAGCACGTGACCGCTTGTTCAACCATGTTCGATTGGGAATAAAGGAGGAACGCTGCATCGCAGCCTTTTCGGACCAAAACCAGTCGACTCAGCGTCAAAAAGACTACAACATATGTGCCAATCGCGGTCATCCGTGCTTTTATAAGAACGAAATGGCGCTTTTAGTGACATTTTGCATACAAATCCCCATCTCGTAGGGCGCAGTCACCCAGTTTCGGTGGAAGTGCGCGAGTTCGATTGGGATTCAAGTAGGAAGGGAGCGTCTCAGCTTTCTCGGACCAAGACCATTCGACTCAGCACCCCGAAGACTACAACTGGTGAAATTTTAATTTTTGCCTTAACTTCCCCTTTAATATTAGCACAGAATTTACTGTTTTCAGCTGCAGAATTCTGCACGGAATGTCTGATATTCTGCCGCGGAATTAACGGGGAACAGAATTAACTTTTCAGGCTGGATGTTCTTGGGCGCGCGACTATTGCATTTCAAGTAGCTTTTGGAAAACATAGGATTCAGTACGAATTGTTTCTATTCCTAAGAAATTGCTACAACTTATAAGAACGCAGCCAGAGCGCTTAAAAAATAAGAACTTCCCAGGCTAACCCCTTGGGGAAAGGGTTCTTGAGCGAGCAACTCTAGACTACTGTATGGAAGAGAGAGGATCCAAGTGGAGAAATCCCTGTAACTAACTATCATGCTGAAACTTAAAAGTTACTGAGTACAAACAGTTTCCACATGGATCCCCTCTCTTCCACATGTGCTTCAGTTCGCACTTCTGTACGACGTAGTCACACACCCTGGCTGCTCTATGGGAAATGCAGCAGCACGAGTTACAAGTAGATAGGACTATGTGTATGTAGACATGATGCAGACATGATGCAGACCTACACCGTAGACAGTAGTACAGTACAAGCAGAAATATTCGTCTGGAATTTGATTTCGTCTTTTTCGTCCAAGGAGCTTTTGGACGAAATTAAACGTAGGACTAATGTCGATTCGCCCAGCTTTTCTACACACTCTTATGATCCATGGACGAAATTTTCAACCGGACGAACTCCTTTTCTTTGGAGTTGGACGAAAGTATTGACCGACGAAATTTCCTGCCTCTACAGTACAGTGCATGCTGGTCTGCGTGCACTACAGGGAGGGACCAGTGCGCGTACTCGTGAAGCTGGATTCCGTGGAGCGTGACCGCAGGTTCAACGCCAAGCACAATACAAAGCACCAAGGTTGATTACGGCCATCGATCGGGCCACATTCCAAACTTCCAGCTATTTAATACAACGAGCATCATTATCATCACATGATCAATACAGCAAGTGTAAACACACACACACACACACACACACGCGCGCGTACACACACATCTAAAATCTTAAAATATACCATTAATTTTATGATAGGAAAATAGAATACCTAATAGCAGAGAAGAAGGGAGGTGAGTAAAAATCAGGCTTGAGATACTGGAAAATAAAACGGTCTAAAGTTGAACACCCTCTACTGAATCTATTGTAAGACCACTTTCGCATTTCAATTTCACTATCTGCAAAAAAACGACGCACGCACATTTAGTCTGTAGAATCACTCGCCGGTTGCAGCAAGCAGAGTTCGTTAACATTTCCGAAAACTGACAGACAGGACAAAGACAGCACAGAGTAAGTCACACGTACGTTGTCGGTAATCACCAACATGCCGTAGCTAGGGGGCTGGGCGTATCATGCCGCGTACAGCAATACCAACAGCCCGTCGATCGTTTTTTTAACGATTCGATGCGATGCTACCACGCGCACAAGCACACCAGGAGGAGCTCGGCTCACTAGATTGCTGACTCTCGTGCACGATCCGCCGCTCGCATTGCCTGTTCCGCGTCGGTCTCGCTCATCTCAGTCAGTGTGCGACGTAACTTGATGCCATCGCCGTCCGCTGCCGCGGATGAAGCAGCTGCCAGCGATGCGTTAACCGGGGCCGGTAGCGTAACATTGCTTTGCTCCAGCGTGTCGGCTCCAACATGCCAGTGAACTGCGTCGTCGAACATGTTTTCTTCATCGTCTTTCACGGCATCGAGTGCGCCGCCCCAGAAACGCAAAACCAAGCCAGTAAAGGCTCCACCTGCACACACACACGCACGCACACACACACGCACACGACAGGGTTCGCAGGGATGCACAAAATGTCTATCTCTCCCCCAGCCCCGCGCTCGCATTACGTGTGACTTGAAAAACCTCCCTAGCTAGCGCGAATACGGCTCATAACCCCAATACCATCACGTCAGGCGTCTGCAGCCAAAAACGGACATTCATGGCAGCCAAGCGGTGCGCATGAGCTGCCATATCAACAACACATCCAAAAGCCCCTGGTGGTACCTCCATGCCGCCAGCCTGCACGGTTGTCGGCGATAACTAAGCTTGCCGTTCAATGACTTTCAAGAGAGGAGAGACGTGCATCTTCCAGGACATCCAGGGAGAGTATCACCTCAAACTAGCCCAAGCCAAGAAACGTACCACACATCAAGGACATGCCAAAAACGTGTGAAAAAGCAGCGCAGCATCAGTTGCAACAAAATCTTACCGGCTAGTGCGATTACAAGCGTGACGACCAGTGCGGCTATTTGATATCCAGCCTGGCTACTTGCACTGCGGCCGTCCCCAACAGCAGGCAATACTTTGCCAAGCCTGTGTACACAAGCAACACAGTCAGTGACACACAAAAGCCAGAAAAGTCAACATCAACGTCTGCCAGTGGTCCATCTTGAAGGCCAGGCTCGTATTTAAAGCAGGCCTCCATCCGAGACGGCACGGTAAGACAGCATCTCACAGACTGGGTAAATACATCTTGACATCTTAACCATGGTGTTGCCACAGCGGAGACACTTTCACTTACGTGTTGCCATACTTGGACGTATCGATGACCTTGACGGCCACGGCAGAGCCGAGAGCAGCGAGCACGCCGGGCATGCCGTGGAGGTTGTGCACGCCGCACGTGTCATGCAGGTGCAAGCGTTTCTGTAGGAACGGCTGCAGGTACACGTAGCCGGACACGCTGATCAGGCCGGCCAGGGAGCCCAGGAACATGGCACCCCACGGCTCGATCAGGAAGTCCGCCGTGGAACCAACAGCAACGCCGCCAGCCAACGTAGCATTCTGAACGTGAACCTGGAACGAACAGAAACGGGAAAAAGGCGAGCTTCAGTTTGAAAGCCATGACACGACTGCGATACTTCATGAGTAAGTCTACTTCAAGTGCAATCATAGTCACCTGCGACATCCAGAATGAAGAAAAGTACGAGGAAGGGTTTCTCCTCCCAGATAGTTACACCTCGGGTGGCCTTTGCATATATATCACACATGCTAGATGTCTGAGCATCCATGTGAGCACTTTCCGTGGCCTAGTGCAGTGAGGTCGTGATCACGGTGTGCGATTCGTGAAACTCACACACTTGGAATTACAAAATCACAAACTCGCAAATTACTCACCAGCCCCAGCTGCAAACTCACCATATCAATCTTTCCTTCTTTGCTGAAGAGCGCGGAGAAGGCGAACGTCACGACAACGCAAGCGCTCAGCGAATAGTATGTGTTGATAACGACACGGTGACGCTGGTCACCGGAAGCGGGTGAGCCGTTGAAGCTGGGCCAGTACAGCCACAGGATTATAGCACCTGCATGCAGGCGGTCAACAACGCAACAAACAATGCCAGAGATCTTGAGTGCAGGTGGGAGAGAGTCGACTGGAATTTAAAGTAGCGCATACAACGCGGCATCAGATCAGACATTTAGCTCGTGAGATGGGTTTGGTTCCAAGGAAATATTTTACAACTAACTTGTATTTGTAATGAAAATCGTGTTACGTCACTAACTCTTCACTGTTTTCACTGAGTGATACGCATAATGCAAGCTCGATCCCGGAGTTCCGACCAAAGATTCGATCGGAAAATATCTGTAGAAACCACAGACAACATGACAAGCACGTGTCGACTGACTTCTGCTGAATGTGGCACGAGCCACCATACTTCTATGATCGTGGATCATGCGAGACGCGCGCATACGCCACCACGCACCTCACATGGACGCAGTGCTGCACATTCACGGGGGGGGGGGGGGTATTCACTCTTGATAGCACTCGTGACTGATACAGGAACTACTAGTTCTCGTTAAGACCATAAGTGCGCTTGGTGAAATCCGACCCGAAATGCATACTTGGCACCCTCAACTTGCATGGCCCTTGATGCCATGGAAGTGGTACGAGTGCTGCTGGACGCACACATGTACGAACACAGTGATGTAATCGGAACTGGTCCAGGGCACCAGCTTTGCACTTTGGGTTGGATTTCAGTGAGCGGAACTGCACACTGCACACTATGGTGTACACAAACCCAATTTCAGGACTACCTACCTAACATGGCGAACAAGTCGGAGTGGTAAATAGCGCCTTCTTTACTGGATCCAACCTTTCTGGCATGGCGGGTGGTCGTCGACAGCATGCGTGACAAGCCCAGGCCAAAGTACGCGCCAAACGTGTGCACGAAGATGGAGCCGCCAATGTCGACGGCCTTGAAAATCTTCACGCCGATCATTTCATTGACGGAGAAGAAGATGATCTCCATTAGTCCGATGACGAGCAGCTGTGTGCTGGAGACCTTGCCCAGGACAGCGCCAAACGTGATCATAACGGCCGCGGCGGCAAAGTCCGCTGTCAACAGATTGGTAAGATCTATCTGGATGTTCTTGTTGAAGTCAGGATACTGGTGGAAAAATCCCAGTGACAGTGTTGCCCACTGCAGAATGAATGCTCCCAGCAAAAAGTTCAAACCTATGCTGCTGTAGCCATAGCGACTGAGGAAGGCCATCAGGAAGCCGAATCCGAGAAACATCATACTGTGCACATCCATGAACATAGGGTAGAGAGCGTCCACGCCATTTACGAAGCCGGCTGCCTCACTGTCATTCGTTGCTGATGGTCTCGCCTCATTGATTTTGTACTCAGTAAATAGTCCAAAGAGCAGAATGAACAACGCCTGCAGAAATAGAGCTAGCAAGGAGAACTTCTTCCTCGATACGAAGTCTTCGCGACTCATGACTGCGTTGTTCGTGGACGACAGTTACTTTCACTTCACTCACTCCACGTCAAAAACGAATTGCCACAGAACACCATAAAATGTGGATGGTCCACACCTCTACCAGTAAAAGCAGCAGCAGACTACAGGAACGAACACTACGGCCAAGGACTTGACAAACTGCTGGTTCTCACGAACAGCTGCAACTTACTTACTATAACTCTGTACCGACTGCCGTCAAAGAATCCTTCAACAAACAAAAAAAGTTCAAGAGTCTTGGCATGTAAATATGTGCCTCTTTGATCAGCATGCAGACCAGTTAGTACTCATTAGCACATGGACTCAGGAGTCACTGGACCGAAACAGGGACTGCTTTAGTTAGTTGAACCGAACGTAGCACTCGCGCCAGCCTGTTTCAAGTGACAGTTCTAGTGACCACCAAACAGTCACAACACCCTGATATGATCACGACAACAACCTTGCTTTCAAGAACGTCTCCCACATACAACATCCACACTGACTCTGCACATATCAACAAGAGTTCATAAACCCTTTGAACTCTTGATATCAACCATACCAGATCAAAAAAATGTGTTGTGGGGAAACTGGGAATGCAACCGTTGCATGCAGGCTTGCAGCATGCATGTAGCATTGTAGGGCGGGAAACGCAGCACTGGCTTTCCCCGATATGGGCCCATACTTCATTGCAAGGAGTACTAAAAAAGCTGATTTTTAGTACTCCCGCTTGCTTCATCTCGACTCGAGTCGTAGATCTTCTTCTTCTTCGGTATCAAAACAAAGATGCTAGAAATAGAGACAATTGAAAGGACGATAAATATCTGATTGTTGCTCAGCCGAAACAGTAGAAAGGTGCAGGAAGTACAACAAAATAAAATTAATAAAAAGATCTTCTCAAACGACTAAACTACGTAGACCTACGTACATCATATCAGTCATCAGTTGACAGCTAGCCATCACTCAACACACTCATCAATCAGTCTAATACATGTACATGTAGTGACTTTGTAAGTCATCACTTGCACTGCACTCATCAGCTGTCAGGTACCGATACATAAAATTGTACATACCCCCGATACACCCCCGCGGCCCGATACACCCCATGCCATGACCCAATCCAGGCTTCTTTTCAAATTTCAGCGTTTGACATTTTTTTAATGTTATGACCAGATGACTGGCCATGGCCCAAAACGAGCAACCCGCTGAGCATGAGAAAGAGGGTGATTCCTGAATAAAGGTAATGGACGACCCCCCCCCCCCCACACACACACACAGGATCAGTAAAGCAGGAGTAGGGCATAGCTAGCACTGGGCCATGGGGCCTGCAGGTAAAAGTAATGAAAAAAGGTAAACTTTTATATATCGTGTCTGTTATTATTACCAAAGGGAACTCACGACGGTCGCTAACACCAGGTAAACCAGGTCAATCCCTATAATTTTAAATAAGTATTGTTAGGGGTCGTCGCAAAAGTTTTTTGTCGTCCCTGAAACGAACATGATTCATTTGGGGGGGGGGGGGGAGGGGTGCGAGTCAAAATCGCAAGTCGACCGACACTGTACATATGACATGTACATGCATGCGATTTTCGTCGTCCAGCATAGCAAGCTGTATTCGTTTCAGAGGGAGGGGAGGGGGTCCGAGTACGAAATGAACGATGTTCGTTTCAGGGACGACAGAAAACTTTTGCGACGACCCCTTATGAGAATTGTTTCCAAGACTTTCTTGCAAGCCCTGCATCAGTAACCGTCAGGTATCATGTAGCCTGATAACGAACCGCGCAGCTATATCCACGCAACACCTAGGCACATGCTTTTCAGTCACAGTCATGTACATGTAGCTAACGTTATTACCTACAATGTACAATGTACCGTAGCTAGCCATCATGACCTTATCTAAAGGCCTGAGCGGAAAAGACGATCATGGTTGGCAGCCATTTTTTATTATTATTTTTTTACTAGCAAACACAGCCCTACTAATAATCAGGGGAAGAGGACAACTGAAATGACACTGGACAACAAGACCATGCCATGCAGGTACTGGTGTGATAAATAAGCATAGAGGATACAAAATTACAAATTATTATTCTGAAGAAGAGAATGTTTATTTTAAAACTAAATTTTCAAGTCAGCACAGCTGATATGGTGCAAACTACAGAGGTTGGTGATACGCATACCACAAGCATACTTGCTGTATGCTTCTAAAGCCTAGAAATAGAACATGAGTGCTGAGCAGCACATAAAAAAAGGTGTGTTGCCTAATAAAAATCAAGGGCCACACAAATGTCCTTGTATGGCAGGGCGGCGGCTTGGTGATTCAAGAACGGTAGGAACTGTGACGGAGGTAGCAAGAGACTACGCCACATCGTCTTGTTCTACGCTGACGGTGCCAAGTTGTGATCGCACTGTACGAGGGAGGCTACCAGGGTTGCTAGAGGGTATCGAATCTTCTCCGCTGCATGCACTCTCCGTGTAACCTTGCAGGAGTGGCGGCTCAATCTGCGCCATCCACTTCCGCATCTGCCCCCGGCGGTGGCAGATAGTTACACTGCAGCGTGACTAAAATCACGCAAGAAAATGGCAGGACCTCAGGGGTGGCAGGTCAAGATGGACACACACCATAGAACTGTTAGAGAGGACCGTGGAGAAGTGGGTACATCCAAAGGTGCACTTGTAAATGCAGCCGGTGCCACATGAGTCCCAGGCTCCCCAGGAGGTGTTCAGCCAGCTAGGCTGCAGAATATTTGCTCCATGTTTGCTGAATGTACAGCAGGACATTGTCAGGACTCAGAGCGCACACCGAATAGAAGGCATTCATTCCACAATGCTAGACTGAGGGGAAACACATTGGTCTCAAGCACTGGCCAGAGTCAGTGGCTGGTGCATGGCTGGCCAAGATGCCAGTCAAGTACGTGTGTGGCAGTCAGCGGGCAGGGCAGAGTTAGCCGTGTGCAGCGGGTTGGCGCAAAACTGAACTCAATCACACGACGACGTGCTGTGTGCTGCCGGAGCTGTTCGGGCTGCTGGCATTGGCCTTGTTAGGTTCTAACAACTATCGGCTGCTGGTGGTGGTGGTGCCGATGCTGCTGTTGTGGTAGCGATGATGATGCTTGGTGGTGGCAGTGGTGGTGTTACTAGAGGTGGCATTGTTGCTACTGTTATTGCCATTGCATACAGTAACCCAGTAAAGCCGATCCGTGGACTATAGAAGAATTCACTCAACATGCTGCATGGTGTTATTGCCACACCGGAGCAGAACAAAAACAATGTTGTTTTCGAATGCTTAGCCCAGCGCGGAGGACGTTCTTCATCCTGCACCTTGTAGAAACATCATTCAAGGTGATGTCTTCGGTGGTTGTCGTCACTCAACCGGATCAAGCCACTGCGGCATTGGTACTGGCGTTAGCAGCACTAACGCGCCTGGGAGCATTACGGACCGTATTTACTAAAACCTGACGCAAGCGCTCGCGGGCTACGTACGACAGCTCAGCATCCTCTACATACTTTCCTTCAAGACTCATCTGCCTCCTCGCTAAATCAGCAGGCACCTGAAAAAAACCCAGGAAACAACAAGAGCGAAAACATCCATCAAAGAAAGCATCTCGAGTTAGAGGAGCAGCTGAGTTGAAATGCAGGTGTAGCCCTGTTAAATTTAGAAGTTTTTCTTGGACCAATATCAGCCAACACGACCCCCCCCCCCCCCTAATACAGTCTGATAATTCGAACCTCGAACTGGGCAGGTGCGGATAACTCGAAGTCAGCAAGGGGTATTCGAAGTTCACGGTACTTCACTACACTTGCTAGTTCAGTGTGCATGGCCTGGCTGTACTGGCCAGTTCACAGAGTCCACGAAATCTGTGTCTATGGTGGGCAGCGTAACTCTGTGCGGCATTGCGAGATTCTAACACACATCATGTTGTGCACATAAGTGGGTATACCCA